TCAAAGAAAGTATGCGGAAGGAGATTGAGGAAATGCTCCAGTTAGGGGTGATCGAACACTCGGACAGCCGCTGGACCTCCCCAGTAGTACTAGTACCGAAACGGGACGGGACGACCGTTTTTGTGAAGACTACCGGAGGCTCAACGATAACACGATCTCAGACACCTACCCCATGCCACGGATAGACGAGCTCCTGGATAAAATGGCCAGGGGCCAGTACCTCACCACGATAGATCTGTGTAAAGGGTACTGGCAGATTCTGCTAGCAGAGGACGCTATCCCTAAGTCGGCATTTGTCACCCCGTTTGGCCTGTATCAGTTTAAGTTCATGCCCTTCAGGATGTAAAATGCCCCAGCTACCTTCCAGAGGATGGTAGATCGGTTATTGGATGGGTTCCAGGAGTATGCATGCGCATATCTAGATGATATCACCATTTTCTGCTGCTCCTGGCCCGAGCATCTGACCCACATAGAAGCCGTACTAGACCGGATCAGGGAAGCCGGACTGACCCTAAAATCCAGCAAATGCCATATAGGGATGGCAGAGGTCCAGTACCTAGGGCACAGGGTAGGAAGCAGTCAGCAGAAACCAGAACCTGCTAAAATAGAGGCAGTTGCCCAGGGACCACAGGGTACTACCGGAAATTTGTGGCCAACTACAGTGCACTAGCCAAACCCCTCACTGATTTGACACGTAAGAATCTCCCTAAGATAGTAGTCTGGGTCCCAGAGTGTGAACAGGCATTTCAACAGCTCAAGACGGCGCTTGTTAACTCACCAGTACTTTCTGCTCCTGATCCAACTAAACGTTTTCTCGTCCATACAGACGCTTCTATGTTTGGATTGGGAGCAGTACTGAGCCAAGTCGGAGCGGATGGCGGCGAACACCCCGTAGCTTACCTAAGCCTAAAGCTTTTACCCAGAGAAGTCAGCTACGCCGCCATCGAAAAAGAGTGCCTGGCTGTGGTGTGGGCCCTCAAAAAACTGCAGCCCTATTTATATGGACAACCGTTTACATTACTCACGGATCACAACCCGTTGGTGTGGCTGAACAGGGTGTCAGGAGACAATGCCAGGCTGCTGTGCTGGAGTTTGGCGCTGCAGCCGTTTGACTTTACCATTAACTGGGAAGCAAAATGGCAACGCCGATGGGTTATCCCGACAAACAGACCTGGAACCGTGATCCGTGAGTGCTCCTCCGGACATCCCCAAGCCGATCCGTTAGAATCAGACTGTGTATGCCGGCTTGGTTCTGGGGTTGCATTGTGGCAAAACTAGCCACTTAAGACTAGCCATATTGAATGTGTGTATATCCCTGTTTCAGCTGTGAGAACCAAGTGTATTATTGTATGTGTCTTTCAGACGAATGAGGGCGTTCGTATGCTGCAATATGGAAAACCCAGCATTCCTAATGTAGTTTCACGAACAGTGAGTTTCAACACTGTTCGTGAAACGAATAAACTACTGAATGGTCAACCACACACAAGAGGTCATGTGGCGCCCATTAACCGATTGCAACATTGTTGCAGTCGGTAGTTAAAGGCTTCCCTAGATGGCCGTCGTTCGACTACCGACCTCGCGGCGGTCGGTCATCTTGGATACTTTGTTAGCCCAGCAGTGTTTTGAACTAAAATCGGCTACTCGACGGTGCGAACACCGGTGGACTTCCAGGCCGTTCGGGAGCCCCGGCCGTTCGGTACTTTGTTCCCCTAATACCAATCGGTATTTTTACGTGTTAGAAATAATGTGAATTTCGTGTGGCGTTCGGGTAGTTAGACTGGGAGCTGAGCGGTATTCTCACGAACTGTGCGCTCAGCCTCCAGCTATCTACCGAACGTCCATTTGTGTAAATCAGTGGAATATTATTAAAGTTATGCATTTTAATGTAAAATGTAAATTCTGCTGCACGGAGGGATAATCCACTTAATGGTATATTCTAGTGGGAGTATCCCTCTCGTGCAGCAGTGCATGATGGGAGAAATGTATGCGTTGGTCAGTTCCCCATGCAGTCCCCTACTGTACCACCCCTGGAATGTCAGTAGGGAATCCCCTTGCATGGGGAATCCCATAAATACAGTGTCCTGTGAATAAAACCTCAGTTGACTCCCAGCCTATGGGTCGTCTAGTTCTTGGGAAGGAAGGATTCTTATAACGCTACCGGGATTATTGTATGCTGTATTTATTTCCTTGGATTATTTTATGCTTTTCCTGTTACCCAGCGGAGATACTGTGGATTATACTACCTCTCCGCTACACCCTGTGACAGGGTTTCTCTCGGCACCCCCACATTCGGTTGCCTTGAAGATAGGCCCGCGCTGGGGCCGGCTCAAGAGCCGCTCACTCAGCGCTGCAGCCCCAGAGAGGGGGCTCCCAGCAGGAAATATCGCCTGCTCTTTGCACAATGTGGCCTGGGGAAGCCAAAAGCTTAGACATCCATAGTCTAAAGCTATTCAGTCTCTGAAAATTTCTATAAATGTTAAATTAAAACATTTCAAATGGAAATTGTGTATTGACATCATTTATTTTTTTCTTTGTCTAAAAAGTAACCTGTATACCATATTGTTGTTTTACTATATGTTTAACTGCTAGGTGTTCAATCTTTGTTTTAAATCCATATTATGCTAATCAGGGCCGGCGCTACCTGTAAGGCGACCTAGGCAGCCGCCTAGGATGCAACTTAGCAGGGGGCGTTAGAGTGCTTTAGCAAGCCTCAGACAGCGCATCACTGTTGTATGGACAGAACTTCCTGTTCCGCACCGCCTGGCCACGCTACATAGGCAGGAGGGAAGAGGAAGGTAAGGACCACTGGGGGAGGGGTGGAGTAAGGACCACTGGGAGAGGAAGGGGAAGTAGAACCACTGAGGGAGAGGAGGGGAGTAAGGACCACAGAGAGAGGGTAGGAGGACCACGGACCACTGAGGGAAAGGGAAGGGAAATAAGGACCACAGGGGAGTAAGGACCACTGGAGGAGGGCGGAGGGGGAGTAAGGACCAATGGGGAGGGGAGGTAAGGACCACTGGGGACAGGGGAGTATATAACACTGGGGAGGGGTGGGGAGTAAGGACAACTGAGGGAGGAGGGGGGAAGGTCCACTAAGAGGGAGGACTACTAAGGGGGTGAAGAAGGGAAGGACCACCAAAGGGGGAAAGGAGGACCACTAAGGGAGGAGGTCCACTAAGGGGTTTGAGAGAGCGAGGACCACTAAGGAGGGGAAGAGGGGCAGGACCACTAAAGGGGGGGGAGGGAGGATCACTGAGGGAGAAGAGGGGGAGGTCCACTAAGGGGTTTGGGAGAGGGAGGACCACTAAGGGGGGAAGGACCACCAAAGGAAGGAGGGAGGACCACTAAGGAGAGGGGAAGAGGATAATTACCACTGAGGGGGGAGTATATAACACTGGGGAGGTGGGGGGAGATGGGAAGGTCTATTAAGGGGTTTGGGAGAGGGAGGACCACTAAGGGGAAGAGGGGAAGGACCACCAAAGGAGGGGACCACCACTAAGGAGAAGGGAGGAGGAAGGACCACTAAGGAGGGAAGAGGTAGGACCACTAGGGGGGAAGAGAGGAAGGACCACCAAAGGGGAAAGGAGGGAAGGACCACTAAGGAGGGAGGACCACTAGAAGTAAAAGGGAGGGATGGACCACTAAGGGGGAGAGGGTAAGGACCACTAAGGGGGTGAAGAGGGGAAGGAACACTGAGGGGGGAAAGAAGGTAAAGACCACTGAGAGGGGGGAAAGGGGAAGGACCACTAAGGGGGGGAGGAGGGCAAGGACCAATAAGGGGTTTGGGGGAGGGAGGACCACCAAGGGGAGGGAGGACCACTAAGGGAGAGAGGGGGAGTGAGAAGATCACCAAGGGGGGGCTGCAGAGGGACAGGGGGCCAAGGTAGAGCACTAAGGGACAGAAGGGGAGAACACTGAGGGACAGGAGGGAAGGGGAGATCACTAATTGACAGGAGGGGAGAGCACTATGAAAAAAAATAAAGAGCTGCTCCCCTCTCAGTCCCTATCCTACACCACAAACCCTCTCTTTTACACTACACACATACCCAATGCATCCCCACACACACACATAAACCTACAATTCATCCCTACTCACACACAGACACACCCAAAACACACAATGCATCCCTTATGCTCACACAAACACTCATTCTCTTAAACACAGAAACAAAATGCCACTTACACACTCAATGCACCCCTTCAATTACATACACAGAAACACACCTTGCATCCTTTACACACACACACACACACAGAGAAACATACAATACATTCCTTACACGCAAACACACACTGCATCCCCTATACACACACATTCCTTACACAAATTGGTATGCCTATACACTACATTCTATAAGAACACACACACATTACATCCTCTACAATAACACATAACACATCCCCTACACACATACACTCCACTCCCTGTGAGAGAACTCATGGGTGGGCCATGTATGTGGATTTATGGGTGGGCATTGTAGGCATACTCACGGTCAAGCCCTGAGGGCCAGGACCTTGAGCTGTGTAAGGGGCTCCAAAAAATGGAGCTGCTTCCTGTTTGTTAATTGTTGTGAGCACTGTTACAAACAGTCTCTAGAGAGCCTCTTCTACACCAGACCTGCAGAGCCAGACTGAGCCTTATGTGGAAATCAATCAATAAATTGATTATCTTGCGTATCTGCCCCCGGCCAAATTAAAGAAATAATGCGTGCACGCTCCTAAAGTAATGCACACCAGACACAAGTTTCAGGTTAATGAAAAACTTGAGGAAAAGTTTATTCGTGGGGACGACACGTCCCTTATAAAGCAAAGTTACATCATAAGCATTGTCAGAGATAACATGGAATAATACATCAATAATTGGTTAGGTGTTAAGTGGTTTATTTAGTGCTCTGCCTACCGGGTGTGATGTCACTGGTATCTTGGAGGTCTCCCCCAGATTCCAGCGCCCTCTTGTTAACGAGGGTGTTAGTCAATGTTAAAGGGGAAACTCCCTAGTGGCCATTTTAGGTAAATCATATAGAAAGTTGAATAATACTGATTATAGTTATGTTGAGTAAATAGGCATTTTACTAACATGGATTGGGTTAATATTTTTGTCCACAACAGTCCCGCCTTAAAATGACTATTTGCGAAAGAGAGTGAAAGGGAGAGAGAAAGAGACAACTACTAACTGACCCTAACGATGTTCCTAATTGGCTGCAGTTCATCTGTCTGAACAGGCCTCGAACGCTTCACTGCGCAGGTATCCCGCAGTGGCTAACCCACTACATCTCCTGCATCAGACGCTGTCCCTATGCTATCCCTATATGGGAGTAGTTGTCTGTTTGATATGGTGAGACTGAAGGGGTGTATGTGGAGTGTCACTGTCCATATTATTGATATCCTGATGTAGGAATCTGGGTGTAGTGCGGTCAATAGTTTGGCCTACGATCTTCTGTAAATATTTCTGCACACAGGGCATCACACAGCAAACTAGGAAGGAAAAGAGAATTACCACAGTAAGAACTGCCACACCTACTTGAAGGAGAGTTTTCTGCCATCCACTCATCCATCCAAACCATTTGTCCCATAAGTTGGGGACTCCAGAGTTCCTCTTTAATTCGTCAGAAAGACTTTCCAGTTTCTCTATAGCCATGGTTACCTTACTGTTAGGGCCTGTGTTGTCTGGGATAAAGGTACAGCATGTCATAGTGTCGGGGAGTATTTTATACACACACCCCTTTTCTGCTAGGATCATGTCTAAGGCCATGCGATTCTGAAATGTCATTTGGGAGGTAGTCTGTAATTGTTCTGCCAAGCCCTGGAGGGCATCTCTAGTGTAATTGACAAATCGTTACTGGTTATAGTAGATATAATTGATCCAATTAACATTCTTGTTAGCGGTGATGAGTGGGATCAAGGATTCGAATCCTGCCGCCACCTCATCTCTGGCCTTGAACTCATTTTGTACCCCCCTTGGTACTCCAGTGGCATTGATATATATGTGTGGGTCGAAACTACCTCGAATGGGGGTTTCTCTTTTTACTCTAAGATACATGTGTGGCGAATCATGTGGGCCTTGGTGGTTGTCAGAGATTATATGTATGGACATGATAACTTTGGTCAGAGCACATTCTCCCCACCACAGGCCAGACATTTTTTACCTAAGTTGCATGTCACCACATAGCCAATAAATATCTCCCACGGACTTAACTTGGTTCACTAATAGGGCAGTGGGAAGTTCTCCCCCTTGCCAACCCCCCCCCTCCTATCCATATCTCCACTTTGCCAACTTCCACCCCTCCTAGCCATATCTCCCCCTTGCCAACCTACTATCCATATCTCCCCCCTTGCCAACCTGCCCCCTCCTATCCAACCTTCCTCCTTCCATAATTATCTCCCCCCTTGCCAACTTGCTTCCTCCTATACATATCTCCCCCCTTGCCAACCTGCTTCCTCCTATACATATCTTCCCCCTTGCCAACCAGCCCCCTCCTATCCATATCTCCCACCTTGTCAACCAGCCCCCTCCTATCCATTTCTCCCTACTTGCCCACCAGCCCCCTCCTATCCATATCTCCCCTGCCAACCAGCCCCTTCCTATCCATATCTCCCCCTCATCAACCTCTCCCCTTACCAAGCTACCCCTCCTATCCATATCTCACCCTCATCAACCTCCCCTTGCCAAGCTATCCCTCCTATCCATATCTCACCCTCATCAGCCTCCCCTTGCCAAGCTATCCCTCCTATCCATGTCTCCCCTTACCAACCTCCTTTGCCAATCTGCCCCTTCCTATCCATATCTCCCCCTCACATACCTCCCCACTCCTATTCATATCTCCCAACTTGCCAATCTCTCCCTACTATCCATATCACCCCCTTGCCAACCTCCCCCTAATATCCATATCTCCTCCCTTGCCAACCTGCCCCCTCCTATTCATATCTCACCCTTGCCAACCTGTCCCCTCCTATCCATATCTCCCCCTTGCCAACCTCTCATCCATATCTCCCCCTTGCCAACCTCCCTCCTTCCTCACATACCTCCCCACTCCTATTCATATCTCCCAACTTGCCAATCTCTCCCTACTATCCATATCACCCCCTTGCCAACCTCCCCCTAATATCCATATCTCCTCCCTTGCCAACCTGCCCCCTCCTATTCATATCTCCCCCTTGCCAACCTGTCCCCTCCTATCCATATCTCCCCCTTGCCAACCTCTCATCCATATCTCCCCCTTGCCAACCTCCCTCCTTCCACACATATCTCCTCCTTGCCGACCTCCCTCCTTCCATCCATATATCCCTTGCCAACCTCCCCCCTCCTATCCAACCTCCCATCCATATCTCCCCCTTGCCACCCTCCCATCCATATCTCCCCCTTGCCAACCTCCATCCTTCCATATCTCCCCTTTGCCAACCTCCCCCTCCTATCCGACCTCCCTCCTTCCATCCATATATCCCTTGCCAACCTCCCTCCTTCCATCCATATATACCCCTTTGCCAACTTCCCTCCATCGATAACTCCCCCTTGCCAATCTCCCCCCTACTATCCTCCCCCCATATCCATTAATCTCCCCCTCATATCCTCCCCCTCCTTCCATTCATATATACCCCTTTGCCAACCCCCATTGCCAAAATCCCCCACCTGTACAACCTCCCCCCTTCCATCCATATCTATCTCCCCCTCCTATCCAACTGCCCCCCTTGCCAACCTCACTCAGCTATCCAGACTCCCCCTTCCATGCATATCTCCCCATTGCCAACTTCACTACTTCCATCCATATCTCCATCTTGCCAATCCCCTCTTCCTATCCATATCTCCCTCTTGCCAAGTTCCCCTCCTCCTATCCATATCTCCCCCTTGCCAAGTTCCCCTCCTCCTATCCATCTCTCCCTTGCCAAGTTCCCCTCCTCTTATCCATATATCCCCCTTGCTAACCTCCCCCCTGTCCATATCTCCCCTCTCCTATCCATCCTTCCCCCTCCTATCCATATCTCACCCTTGCTAACCTGTCCCCTCCTATCCAAATCTCCCCCTTGCCAACATCCGCTTCCTATCCAACCTCCCCCCTTCCATCTATATCTCCCCCTTTGCCAACCTACCCCTCCTATCCAACTGCCCCCCTTCCATCCATATCTCCCCCTTGCGAACTTCCCCCTCCTATCCATATCTCCCCAATTACCAACCTCCCCTCTCCTATCCAACCTCTCATACATATCTCAACCCTTGCCAACCTCCCATCCATATCTCAACCCTTGCCAACCTCCCCCCTACTATCCAACCACCCATCCATATCTCAACCCTTGCCAACCTCCCCCCTACTATCCAACCTCCCATCCATATCTCAACCTTTGCCAACCTCCCCTCTCCTATTCAACCTCCCCCCTCCTATCCATCCCCTCCTATCCAACCTCCCCTTCCATCCATATCTCCCCCTTTGCCAACCTAACTGCCCCCCTTCCACCCATATCTCCCGCCTTGCCAACCTTCCCCTTCCATCCATCTGCCCCCCTTCCATCCATATCTCCCGCCTTGCCCACCTCCCCCTTCCATCCATATCTCCCCCTTGACAACCTCCCCCCTCCTATCCATATCTCCCCTTCTAGAAACTATAACCACTTCTATGAGATGAAGCAGTTGCATTACCTACAGTATTCCTTTAAACTTCAATCACTCCAAATTTTGGAAACTTGTAGCTTTTATTCCATAAATCACTCTTGTAATATGTAACTTCTATCTTCCAAAATAAATACAATAACAGACATTTACTAATTTTTGGAAGCATTTAGTGATTAAAAATGTTAAAATTAGATATGAAAAAATCAAAATATGCATGGACTCCACTATGGAAAAGATGCCAAACGTCTTTGGCATTCAGGAAATTTTAAGTGAGGTCTTTGTGGATAAACTCCTTTTAGAAGTACATTTTAAAAACAAAATAGCAATGGTAGACATACACTGGATTTTTTTTAAAATAATATATGGAATTATCAAGTGTTATGGTTAATGAAATTATTTTACTGAATATGTTTATGCAGATTTTGAAACATGATGAAACATTTGTAGACCTAGAATATTGGAAATGATAGGTGAAACTCATAAATTGTACTTTATTTTTGTTTTTTATTGATCAAGTTGTTCCTAAATAAATATGATACACAACATAATATAATTTTAAAACTCTTACAAATCTAATGTACACCATTCAAAAATATGCATATTGTGCCCTGATATGTAATTTTAACTTTATTAGATCCTGTATACAAATTAAATTATAAATGCAGAGCTTTATTCAATAAACAATAAAAAAATTTAGTGAATTAAAAGTAGATTTGCAAAATTTAGGCAAAAAAGTGCATGTTTAGAAAATTTCTCCAATTCTGCTATACAGCTTGGATATTTTAGACTAAATTTGCAATTCAGTTCTTTCGTTACAATTCACTATTTAGTTAACAAAGGCAAAACTGTTTTCTGGTAGCGGTTATTTTGATTGTCTTGAAAAGCATGTCTGTGGTACATTTATTTCTTGAGACTATAACAAACAAAAAAAAAAAATCACGCTTTATGCGAAAAAAGTTGGGTAACGCTTTATAAACAAACAGTTTCCTCTCCAATAAATTATGTTCTACACTACTTTATAAACAGAATCAGTAAAATGTGCCTGAATGGAATAGTACTCTTTGTTCATATCACGGTATAATTATTGGAAATGTGATTTTATATATTTCAGATGATTGACTGTATAGATCGAAGATTTAATGCAGAATAATTCCCTTTAAAAATGTGCCAATTTATACATCTACTTACAATGAGTGACAAAGCCCCCTACCTATCGTTAGGGTCTCAAAAAGCTTGCTCTAATAATTTTTTAACACAGCATAATTTCCCTCACATTACACATTCAAGTACTCAGACAATAATGAAGATGTCTTGTAGTGGACAATTCTAAGAAAACTGCACTTTAAAGTGGTATTTGCAATTTGAGATCCCTGGTTTGTGATACACAGAAGAACACATACAAATATAATTTACAGCAACAGAAAAAGACAGAAAAAAATAACTGCATCTGTTAAAATTTGTACATGAGAACATAAGACACACTTCACATACACTATATAATGTTTTCGAAGAACGTTTTTAACTGAATTGACAATTACGTAATAAGGTACAATTATTTAACATTATTTAAAAAAGCCTAGGTTTAAAATATTCTCTCTTAAAAATAACTTTACATACCATGTAAAAGAATAAACATTCTAGTTCTATATTCTGATTATGATCCATAACAGATACTAAATTCTTTAGTGCAAACAATTGCTGGCCAGCAGCCTTTAGGATCTCTGCTAATAAATTCCTTACTGACATTACGAATTTATGTATATACCTTAATTTAAAGTGACTTAGAAGAACACACAATGAATATTTTTCGATAATCATTGAAAAGAATATTACAAAGCAAATTTGCAAGTAAGTGTTCATTTTTCCCTCCACTCCACCAGCTCAATTAAGTGTCCCTCTCACATGTATAATGTCCCTCCCACAATAATTAATGAGAGATCATAGACTGGCTGACATATATATATATATATATATATATATATATATATGAGTACGTGCAATGTATTAAAGGAACACTATAGGGTCTGGAACACAAACATGTATTCCTGACCCAATAGTGTTAAAAACACTATCTAGCCCTCCTGACCCTCGTTGCCCCGTAAATATAGTCAAATCTTACAATCTGCTGGTGCTGTCTCAGTGGCTGATATTATCAGATGTGATGATCTCAGCCAATCACAATGCTTTCCCATAGAGTGTTTGGGGGAAGGAGCCAAACACCACCCTTGCCAATCAGCATCTCCTCAATGCATCTCTATGAGGAAAGTGCAGTGTCTCCATGCTGAGGGGCCCAGGAAGCACCTCTAGTAACCATCTGAGAAGTGACCACTGGAGTTGTCCATAGGCTGTAATGTAAACACTGCCTTTTCTCTGAAAACACACTGCCTACTGCAAAAAGCCTGAAGGAACTGACTGAACTCACCAGAACAAATACAATAAGCTACAGTTGTTCTGGTGACTATAGTGTCCCTTTACAAAAATGTATTAAAACATTATGCTTCACTAAGAAGGACAATTTCATGCAGCAAATATCTGAGCGGTGAACCTTTTTGATGACATCATCTTCAACAAAGAAGCAGGTGAGATTATATCAACCCATTTATCACTCATTTCCATATGGTAAAACATAAATTAACATAGTGTTAAAATATATACATTAATGCTTAAAAAGGTGACAAAATGACCGTGGAATTTCCCTTTAACAGTATTTGCAACAATGCCTCACTCTGTAAACTTTGAATATCCAAGTTCATCCATTAATGTCAAACAAATGTCCTCTATTAGTTTTATTTCTTCTATAGGCATATTTAATTTCCATGTATTTATGCTTGATGATGAAATCTCTCCTTCATGTGGAAGATAAAATAAATTAGTGGAACTTGCAAACATTATTTGATTTAAACTTGCGGGAGAAAGAGGTATGCCAAAAAAATTATAAATTCCTTCTGCAGCTTTTTCTGGAAAGTTTACAATGTCTTCAAATTTAATCAACTGATAATTTTTAGTTGATGAATTTTTATTTATTCTGATTGATGCTGCTGTGTTGGACAACCATAAATGGGACAGTTTGGATATATCATTGGATTTTGAATTTGAAAGTTCCTCTTTTAAAGACTCAAATTCAGAGGCATACCCTATATGAGAGACACATTTCTGTTTTGTATCTTCTTTGAAGATTACAGATAAATGCTTTTTAACATTCCACTGCGAAAATAAATTTGGCTTACTTTTATACAACAATGAATAAACCCAGGAACGAGGATCTCGAACAACATACAATGCCCTGAAGGAAGGTCCAACAATTTTCTGTAAAAATGGAAGTTTTAATGTCCAGCTTCCACTGCTTAAACCTAGTACTGGTTGCACATTTGGAAATGTTACCAAGTGCTTGCGAAGTTGTCTGACATTATCAGCATCTCTGTCATACTTTACTTTAAATCTGTTTTTTTGCTCTAAAATTGTATCTCGTCTTTTAATTCTTCTATTAATATCTTTGCCAATGGTAACACGATGAAAAAGTTTTGGTTTGTTTGGTTCATTTAAATCAATATTCTGCAGGTGCAGTTTTGTATTTTGTAGAAGTGACCGAAGCCAGCCTTGAATTAGTTGAAAATGTCCATCATCTACATCAGAACTACTCCATTCACATGCATCGAAAAAGGAATCAATTTTAAACTCTCCCTCGGGAATGTCAATGTAAGTAGTAGGGACCTTAATATATAGAAAATCGGTACTGTTGAAAAACAGCTGTTTTAAGATTTCAGCTCCTGAACCAGGCAGAGAGGTAATTACTACTATTGGTGGCTCTATAGCATCTCTTTCATCGTTCTTATTCTGTGTGTTGGGTAATTCATGGTTCCACTTCCCACAAATTGGTTGAGTACATGAACTCCACACATCCAATAACTCAAAAAACCACAGAGTTATGATAAAAACTAAAACCCAGCGCATCAACTTTCCAAAAGAAATATAGAACCTCAAGTGAAATGCTAAAATTCCTAAACTTATACTTAAAATTAAGCCTATGATCACATAGAGTTTAAATCCAAAGTTAAATACATTCATAGTGGTAACCTTATTTTTTTCAACATGCTCAACTCCTAAACCAAATCGTACTATTTTGTCCTGTTCTTCTACTTTTGCGTATCCACCAAATCCAAGAAACTTAAAGCGAGTATCTAAATTGTTATACTCGGTCACCAATGTAACAATATTGTCAGAATTGTTAATATTTACAGAAAGTTTAACTCCAAGTTTGCTATCATCTAAGAATTTCAAATGTGACACATTAACATATGGACCATGAAACAAATATGCAATTCTAGATATTCTTTGGTTTAATTGAAAGGTAATATTTACATATTGGGTCCAGCGCTTTTTAAACTCAGCAGCTTGCTCTGCTTCTTGTATTTTGGGAGCTGGGCTATTACCATTTTGGTCTAACCAAAACATTTTGTAATGAGCATCCCATATGTCCATCATGGCACCACTAAATTTGTTTAAAAACCTGAAAGGAACATATTTGAAATCAATATCAAGATTGTGGAAAAAGGCACTAACTAAAGAGACTGGAGAATCTATGTCCTTTTCTATATGATCAACTACTAAAAGAGTTTGATGATTAAGTAGTAACAACCCACGATAAACACTTTTTAGCTTCATGGAAGATGAGTAGGCAGAAACAGCCTCACCGCTTACAAACACCATTTCTCCTTGCTGACTTGCTGTTATTATCTCCCCAGCTGCCTCGCCAGAACCATTTGTTGTCCATTTTAGCCAGTGTGAACATTCTCCAAGTTGGCCTTCCCAAGGTTTATTGCACTGGCTAGTAGGGGAAGGAGCAAACACGAGTACATTATTCAAATGACTAAATTTTGGTCCATACAGTGCTTCTGAAACAAATACCTGACCATTAGGAGCAAAGGTGAATGAATTTTGATCTGGATGTTCATGTCCTGGATTGAAACTTCTCCAGCCATCAATCCATGAGTATGGCTGAAAATGAACAATATCATAAACTGCACGTCCTCCAAGCTTTCCAGATTTAAAGGAAAAGAATGTGTTGGTCTGTGTGTTTGGTAAACCACCTCCATAAGTTACAACTCCCCAATTAGGAAAAACATGCAATTTTGGTACACCATGACCAGAGGGTGGATGAGATATAAGCTCTGGATTATACCATAAATATTCTGTGTGAAGTGTGCTCCACCGTTGTGATGCAGACTGTACCATTGGTCCATCTTTTGGCCTGTGTTTTCTGATTTGAGATGCTAACCAATTTCCAGCTCCATTCTGGAGAATAAACGAATCTAAAAATACTAACTGACTTTCTGGACCATAAAACCAGTTGTAGTTAGAATCTGCTATCCCAACACTTCTCTGAAATCCAGGCAAAAGAGTAGAATAATAAAACCAGTAGTGCATTTTCAGCCAATTGTTGTCAAAATGATTAATACCAAAGTGACGCTTTGCTAAGAAAGCATATTGTGTAATTGATTTAGAGGTGTAGCTTCCATATGCGACACCTTCATCTAAAGATCCATCTACAACATGATTCAGGAGAAACATTGTCTTTTCCATCACATCAATAACTAATTGTTTCCAAATATTTGATTGAAATTCATTATAAGAATTTATAACAAGAGCCCCAGTGAGCAGGGCTAACATGTTGGTGGCTTGGTGGTTATGGAGAAATTGTTTCCCCCATGAACGAACTTTAGAATATTCATACATCTCTTCGGTGACACTGTAAATTTTCTTTAAATAAGTTTGTCTTCTATTATTGTCTAGTAACAAGTATAAAAAATCGAATGCCGTAGAAAAGCCTGTTAATGAATGTCCAAGTGGTACTTCATCCCCCGGAGCACTGACAACTAACCAGTCCTTATAATTCACCATTCTATCCATATACTCGACTGCAAAAGAAAGTGCGCTTTTATCATCTGGAGATAGAAGACAATACAGTGAGAGTGGAGGTAAATTATTTCCATAAATCTCATTCCATTTGGATGTAAAATCGGCATGCTTTTGTGGAGGCAGGTAGAAAGACGGATTTGATAGCATTTTATTGACTGCATTTCTAATTGTCCTAAATAAATGTGAATGGCTGGTATGTGATTTCTGTCTTAGCCCTTGCACGTCTGCCTTATCGAAATATAAACTTGGATGAAAAAGATTGTTTTTCTGCCTGAAGTTAGGAGTGAAATCATGTACTGTGTGATGATGTGCCACAGTTTCTGTCAGTACCAACAAGTCAGAATAATTGCAGAGAGATGGATCAATAAGTAATAGAGAGAATATGGAAGCGGTTACAAAAAGAGTGGATCTTATTAACTTTAGAGCCATGATCCATTAGTCGGTTAGTCTGTTAGTCAGCTAACATTTCTAAACAAATAAATGCTTTTTCATATTAAACAACAATTTATGAATTTTCTTATTGATATGATATGATGAATGTCAGAATAAAATTAGTATTGTATATGAAGGTATTTCTAAATTACACATTTCTTTATGATTTGTTTATTTATTAGAATGATCTGAGGAATATATTCTATGTATATGATTATCAAACCCAATTCCCATTTACTAATGTATGACTATGTGCCCCAAATTAGAAAAGTGCAGTTTGAAGTGTTTTTCTTTAGCATTTTCAATGCATACTACATATAATTATGGAGAAAGAGAAATCACGTTGTGATAAATAGGTTTGTCCCAATAGCAACACACTGGGTTGTTTTGAACTGTATCCATACTTTTTTGGTTAAATAGTTGCAATTTTCACATTTGTCTGTGTAGTCATTTATGAGTCATTTCTTGCATTATTTCATAAATGAGAAACTGTTAAATGTATTTTTCCATACTGTTAATCCATTTTTTCAATTGCCAACTATTTAAATGCTTGACTCATTCAATGCAGGAAAATAATATGTAGGCTGGTTCTGAGCAACTCTTTAGCCAAATGCTTTCCTTTCCTCTTTTACATTTGTTTATCCAATGGACGTTCAAGAAATCACTGCTCCTTTTGGTTTATTTGTAGTCCATTTTCAGATGAGCAATCGTGAGATATCCTGTATGTATAAAAAGAAAATATAATCATTTTCTAACTGTGAAACAAAAATGTAATGTTATATCGTAAAGAGATAGTGATGACAAAGTGCTACTTTGTTTTTACAAAACGGCTATTTCCACAGTTTCAAATATTGTTAAATCATCATCAGCAAGCACATCTCTAGCTATGTTGCCTACCTCTTGTGTTAAAAGAATACTGTAAGCACCAGTACAACTTTCCTGTAATGAAGCAGTTTTGGTGAATAGATCATGCCCCTGCTGTCTCACTCCTTAAGTATCTTCTACTTAGAACAACATACAAGATCCAGCGCACTCACTCATCACTAAACAGCAATTTCAAAGTGGGTTTAGTTCCAGTATATGATCATACTTTGCACAAGCCTTCCACAATGCCAATATATCCCATTATTGGCAGGTCCTATGCTAGAAACCTAATGCCTACACATTTGGGACATCCTTTCTTCTGCAACTCTCTGCAGTGCAAGGTTAAATAGGGTCCTGAAATGAGGCACCTTGACAGGAAGGGATGCAAATCCAAAGGAATTGGCTTGGACTCCCAAATATAACTATGTATGAAACCAAGAGGGATGGCTACACTCACCTGAACATGCATACATTATAGGAGTTCTGCTGGGGCCAATTCATACAACATACAAGACCCAGTGCACTCACTCATTCACTATTTTACTATACTATATTACTCTGTTTATACAGCCCTAGTCATGCTTTTCCTGGCAGTGACTCACACAGAAAAAAATAATTTTCCATCATATCTTAGAGCACAGTGTGTTTGTTTAGTTATCTCCTGCTCTATTAATTGAACTTTAATACTGATCTTGGTCTTTAATGGCATTAGAGTGTAATGGCACATCCTGACATCCTTGCCCCCCAATGTTACTGCAGGCATACTTACTACAACTGATCCATTCAGGAGATTTGCTTGGAAAACAAAATCACCTTGGTTCTAGTCACGTCATCATGGTGACAGCCAATCACCGCAATCACAGATACAATGTCACAGCCATTGAACACAAACATTGGCTGTCATAATTGACTCTGCTTCTCTCTTTAGGGTGTCTACTTTTCAAAAACATATGGTTTGATGCGGGTAAATGACATTGGCTGGCTTCAAAAATGTCCCATATGGGACATGGGTGCATGATGACCAGCTGTGAAAATTCGAAGTTGGAAAACTGGAATGCACACCCTCCAAATAACGCATTTAGCCCCCAGAGAACCCGACACACCTATACATGGGTGGTATCGCTGTACTCATGAGATGTTGCTGAACACATATTGGAGTGTTCTTTGGCAGTTACACCTAACAGGAACTGAGAATCCATGCCTAAATTAGAATGTGTGTGAAAAATAACAAAAAAATTACTACTGAAACGTTTGGCAGAGACTGGTGGTAGAATTAGGGCACGGAAAGTGTTAAAATACCACCATTTGAAATAGCCTAGGGTGTCTACTTTTCAAAAATATGTGGTATGATGGGCGTAAATTACATTGGCCAGCTTCAAAAATGTCCCAAATGGGACATGGGTGCATGAGGACTAACTGTGAAAATTCCAAGTTGGAAAACTGGAATGCGCACCCTCCAAATAAGGTCTTTTATCCCCCAGAGAACTCGACACACCTATACCTGGATGGTATTGCTGTACTCCGGAGATGTTGCTGAACACATATTTGGGTGTTCTTTGGCAGTAACCCTTAATGTTCTCAGTCCATGTATTCTTAAATTGCTATGTGTATCAAAAAAATTACCAATTATTTTTTTTTATTTTTTATTTGGCATCGACTGGTGGTAAAATGGTTGCATAAAAAGATTCAAAATACCCCAAGTTTAATACCTTAGGTTGTCTTCATTTAAAAAATATATACATGTGAAGGGTTATTCAGGGATTCCTGACAGATATCAGTGTTACAATGCAACGTTAATTTTGAAAAAGATTGGTTTGGAAATAGCAAAGTGCTACTTGTACTTATAGCTCTATAACTTTCCAAAAAAGCTAAGAACATGTTAACATAAGGCATTTCTAAACTCAGGACAAAATTTTGAAACTATTTAGCATGGGTGTTTTTTGGCATTTGTACATGCGCAACAGATTTTGGGGGTCAAAGTTCAAAAAAGTGTGTTATTTTAAATTTTTTCATTATATTTTATTTTTTTTATAGTAAATTTATGATGAAAATAATGGTATGTTTAGAAAGACCATTTAATGGCAAGAAAAACAGTATATAATATGTGTGGGTACAGTAAATGAGTAAGAGAAAAATTACAGCTAAACACAAACACCGCAGAAATGTAAAAAGAGCCCTGGTCCTTAACGGTAAGAAAATTGAAAAACAGCCTGGTCACCAAGTGGTTAAGTACTCGTGGATGAATAATATCAGGCACTGGAGCTTTGTTTATATTAATTTTCTTTAATTGCTGCAGCACCTTGTCTTGAGTTAACCAATTACAATTTTTCTGCAAGTTTTTAGCATCATTCATTTGCACATCTATTGCCATGGGTTCTTCCTTAATATATACGGATGAGAAATAGTTATTTAAAATTTCTGCCTTTTCCTAATCACACCCCCATTCCAGTTTTTAGTGTACCTACACTTTTATCTTTTGTTGTTTTTTTAGAATTTACGTACTTAAAAAATGCTTTGGGGTTGGTTTTGCTCTCTTTGGCTATCCCTTTTTTCATTTTGAGGTTTAGCGAATCTAATAGCCTTTTTGCATGCATTATTGGCTTCCTTATATCTTTTATAGGAAGCAACTGATTTGGCCGATTTAAATACTTTAAATGCCCTTTTCTTATTTTTAATCTCGTTTTACTTCTCTACTAAGCCACATTGGTTTCAATTTGTTTCTTTTATATTACCTAATGGTACATACTGAGAAATTTACCTTTCTAATATTTGTTGGAAGATGTTCCATTTATCCTCAGTGTTCTTTTTACTAAAGAGTTTATGGCAGTCAATATATTGTAAGACTGCCCTTAATTTATAGAAATTAGATTTTTTTAAATTATATGTTTTAGTATACCCCATGTGCTTTTGGATTTTTTTTTGTTTATTTCAAAGGACACTATATCGTGATCACTATTTCCCAAGTGCTCACCTACTTGAATGTTAGTCAAAAGATCAATATTGTTTGTTAGAACCAGGTCCAGACAAACGTCCTTTCTAGTTGGTGCTTGTACAAGTTGTGACATGAAGGTGTCATTTAACAAGTTAAAAAACCTAATTCCCTTTGCTGCGCTACTAGTCGCTCTGTCCCAATTTATATCTGAATAATTAAAATCTCCAATAATTAAAGTGTTACCAAGATTTGCAGCTTTCTCAATTTGCTCAGACAGCTGTTGTTCCTCATCAATATTAACATTATGTGGTTTATAACATATCCCAACCAATAGTTGATTTCCCTTCTTTAGCCCCAAGCAGATATTTACCCATAAAGCTTCCATTTTCCTCATCACATTCCACTTGCTTAAGATTTGGCTTTAACTCAGGGTTGACATACAAACATACCCCACCACCCTTCTTGTTTTTCCTATCCTTCCTAAATAGTGTGTACCCATTTAAAGTTTTTTTTTAAATTGCCCAATCATGTGTCTCATCCCACCATGTTTCAGTTATGCCTATTATGTCATATTGTTTTGTGTATGCTATTGCCTCAAGTTCCCCCATTTTGTTTTTTAGGCTCCTTGCATTAGAAAGCATACATTTAATACCATGAGACACTTGTACTTTTTGTGAATCATCAACATTACATACCTTTTCTGTTCTGAGCTTCCCCCTCCCCCCGTCTCAACCCCCTTATACAAAGCTAAAGCCCATCTTCTTTCTGTTTACCTAAATCATTTGCCATTTGGCTTATCCCTCCTGGAATATCAACCCTGTTACATATCTTAGTATCGACAGCACAAAGGTCACGTGGCATTCTCTCCATGGAAGTGCAGACAGCTCTAGACTATCTGCGAGGTTGCCTGATTTCCATTGCAACCTCACACCACCTACAGGCATCCTTCAAAAATACAGGACCCTGTGGGTGTTACACTTTATACTCACCTTTTAGTGATGTCATTTGTTGACATATTTGTCTTTGTCTGCCCTGCACACCTTTGTGTGTCCTGGTGCAGGGTGATGGTGTCCAATAGTATTCTTTCTAGCCATGTATAAGTTCCCCCCTAGCTGGGAATCATTGCCCTGTCATGGTTCTTGTTAGTCTGAGAGTGCGTTTTTTTAATATTATGTTTTTCCGGTTGCTGACCCGGTTTCATATTTTGACTAGTCTGTCTCTCTGTATCCCTTTGACCTTGGCTTGTTTTCTCGTTCTTGTGTGCCTCTGTATTCCTTGACCTAGGAATCCTTTATTTCTAAAATTTCTCACCTTTTTAGGCATACGTTAAATCCAGCCACTCTTAGGTCCGGTATACATATCCTGTTCTTACTTCTATGGCCAATATCCTTCTCCCTGGGTAGGAGTTACCCCAGGTTACTAAACAGCCACCATCGGAGAGCACTGCACAGTTACACACAGCTATACAACGATACTTATCCGTCTAAATGAGAGAGGAGTGCTACAGCTTTATGCTAAATCAATGATTTGGAAAGCCATGCGCGTGAACTTGTGGCTCAAAACCAGAAGCTTCTCAATGAGATTAAATAGATGCATGTATGTTTTTATTGATTGTTAGATTTACTTTTAAAGGGTTTCTCTAACCAAAAACAGTGTTTTAATGTATTGGATGGAATAACCCTTGCTGACATGATTCAGCCCCACCTGTTAAAATATAAAAAAAGAACAAACTCACCTTTCTATCCCACAACAATGACAAGTTCTCCTTGCCCTTAACCTCTGTCATACCCCTTTACTGGATAATTGAGTGGAGGACTATTGCCAATATTGGTTATCTGTTACCATCATGCTTTGCATGCCAAAAACAGTTGACAAGTGTAATGGATCACCTGGCACCCTGACTGGGTACCTCCGTTGAAGGATGCTCCTAGCACTTCCTGAGGACTCCAAGCACTGCAGCAGACACCAAAACCACCGAACCGTAGGAGCATATGAATGCTCTCAAGCATATGAATGTTGTATACAGCTAAATAGGAAAAAAACATGCAAATAGGTTTACACTCCTAGCAGTCAAACTGGAACAGCATACAATAAATCCTCCCCCAATAATGAGACGACACTTCACTTTGAGGGTTAAGCAGGAACTGACTGGACTGGCACATACAGCCTCTTTTATTCCCAATCCACAAACTTAGTACTGCCCACAGGGTTTTACAGAACAACCAATAACACACGTACATTACAGAAAGACACTCCCACACAAAATCCTCCCCTCTGCCTGTGATACAATTACCTTACACAATGGGTAATCTAATTATCACAGACAGAGACAGTTTCATAAAACACATCACAGAGACCCCAAAACATGCAATAACCCCATAAACCACATATCCAAAATTCACCCAGATCCATTCAGTACTTTGGAAGATACAGTTTAATGCAGATTCTGCAGAACATATACAAGCTAAATGAAAAATAATCACTGTATAATGTGTCCCCTGCTGTATAGTCCAAAACCACTGCACAATGTCTCTGTGCACCAAATACTGGCGAGACGGCACCGTGTTGAAAAGTCCAAACAGTGTCTGTGAGTTAAAATGGCCGCCATCCATTGTTCTCATCATGTGCTTCATCCACTGTTCTCACCATGTGCCTCTGATACAGGAAATGGTGGCCACCTAGTAACTCCACAGTATGTCCCCAGGTGGTTCTTAAAGGGCCAACAGCAGCACAACACAAATCCCTTATGCCCAAATCATGTCTTTAAACAGCAATACATCCCAGGGGCCATAGTCACATTGCAGGAGGCGGGCAATCAGTCTTCTCCAATGCCCAGTGGCGAGGTCGGTTTTGCCACAACAAGTATACATCTAATTAGCATTAGCCAGCCCAGAACTCTAATTCACCTTTGGAAGTGTCATTAACCTGTGCAGAGAGGAATTATACATCTGGCAACAAAGGGCTTTAACTCTTTATGTAGAGCATTTCAAATTAAAAACATTGGTACATACAGAGACTCTAAGCACCATGATCACTTCAAAGCATGTGGACTTGGTTCTTAAAGTAACTCTTTCATGCACCTGTAGGTGTAGAATTTGTAAAGTGTGCCTTTACCCTAATCTAAAAAATATGTATATCGATCTCTCTCTCTCTTATATATATATATATATATACACACACACACACACACACACACACACACACATATACACACACACATTCATATTCTCATACACATACATAAAATTCTCACGAAGACACACATTCTCATGCATAATTATTACATACACACACACACACACTCATGTATAGGACTACATTAATAGAACCTCTCGCTCTTCTTTGTTGCTAGAACTTTTGATATCTGGACATTTGGATTTGTTTAAGGACTGTGCTTACTAGATTACCTCATATGCTCACCATATGGTTTCAAATCGACAGCATTTGGTTAAGAACTATACTTTTGTATTTCCCACCAGTTGACCCCACTACTCTGTCTCAGTATCACTTTTAAGAATACATAATTGAAAAGTCCCTTTTCTTTGTTGATTGAACTTTTATATCTTGAATATGGCTTTGTTTATGGACAGTGTTTATTGGATTACCCCACACTCACCATATGCTGGTCCATCCGGTATCGACTCAACTTGCTTATTTGGATTAAGTTATCAGATATTTCTTCAACCCTCCATTTGAAATTTTGGTAATTATACTTATGGTTAAAGGTTTAGACAATGATTACTGGATTATTCCCTTTACTTACCGTTTTGGGTTCATTTACCATGCTCTTTCACTTGCAACTGGCTAATGGATCTTCCCATTCAAACTGACCGCATAAGCCTCATACTTGTTCTCCGGGTACTTGCTGTGGATGCTCCAATTGATGACACTCCTGTATAGTAAATGGAAATCAGTGTCATAGCTTTGCATGGTACAAACTAACTTTGCCACATATATCCAGTAACCAACCAGGAAACATTAGAAGCCACACATGGCTCAAACTTTACCAAAGACCTATAAAAGGTAAACTATAATTATAAACCATAGCCACCCCCTTGAGGTAAGTATATTAAACATTTCTTTAGAAAAGGCATAATTACTGGCTTCATACTCATAATGGTACCATAGGCTGGAAAAAACAACATTTAAGATGAAATTGGCTTTATTTACAAAATAAAGTTCAAGCACAAGGAATAACTGTCTCAGTTCAGAAGCACAGCCAATGATAAGGGCTGGGCTATGCATTGGGAGTATAAAGAATGGTTAGCTCATGGGTCTTCTAAGTACTCTGTGTACATGGTATATGAGAAATGCTGCACTCATCTTCCACCTTGTGACACAGGTCGAAGAAGCAGCATTGTATAGATTAGTTCTCTGAACAGTTCCAGTCCAGAGATCTGCACTGGTCTATAACAGCCTCCCCCACTCACACACCTAGGGACTCTACAGCACACATTTCTTCTGTGTTATGGCAACTTAGCTAATGTTCTCCCAAGGTTTGCAAGGGACATATGATGTGGTTCCTCTTAGTATTCAACCCAATCAGCCCTGTCATTCAGCATTTAGTGATCCAAACAGTCTATCAGGACCATGGCTAGTCTTGCACAACTAGAAATCTTGGTGTGGTAAACATTCATCTCCAGGTTATCTTGGACTCTTGGACTTGGGCTCTCTATGAATATGTGCTTAAGAACATGGCTACAATGTGAATTTTGCCTGCAGGTTTTCATACTTTTTTTTCTCTAGTGTGCAGTATAGGTGTGGATGCTTAGGGTTAAGTAGTGTTGGTTAGACCAGGAAAGCTATGCCAACACAGAGAAGATGGGGAGCACCAGAAAGCAAACTTATTTTTTAGGGGTATCATTTTTAATATGTGGGGTAAAAGCTTCAAGGAGAGACCTGACTGCCACTCTGGGGTTGAGAAGTGATTTATTATTAGTTTGTTGCAAAGTTGGAAAGCACTTCATACTGTTTCCCCCCCCCCTTCTTTTTGATCAACAGCAAAAACTCATGTGAGAAAGGCTGAACATGATGGACGCAAGTTTATTTTCAGCTATATAACTACGCATCCTCCTAGGCAATGAGTAGCTGCCCTGCAAAAACACTCATTATCGGTTTTCATGGTGGAATAAAAATTTGGAATTGTAACAGAAGGATACGAATACAAGATTGCTTTGTTGTTACCTACTTGTAAAAAGGTGCAGGAAGATGCTTACGTGGAGACTAAATCAGGGAGCCCACATGCCTTAGACAAAACAAGAGCAATGTCAGTAGGTATTCACCAACGCTAAGCAACAAGTACTGACAGGTGACACTGGAAAAGTTTCAAAGCAAACTCCTATGGAAGAATATTGTTGGATTTGTAAGATGATGCTCAACTAGATCCAGTCTATATTTTGCTCCACATTGTGCGTCAGACCACACTTCAAAATCTCCATTAGTGTTAGACTAGTGATTGCAGTGTTAATTTCAGTGCATGCCTAATTTTAACTCACAATGTGACGGTATCTCACTGGTTCTTTTTCACTCAAATGAAGGGTCATTAAGGGTTTATGCTTATTGATATGTCAACTTTTTCCATATTTTTATAGAAATCACTGCATACATAAATAAAAAGTAGTATTGTGGAAATACATCAGCCTTGTCATTTTCAAAAGATTTAGTTTAGCTTTTTAGCTGGTAAATTTTACGGCATTGATGTTTTAAAACATAGTGAATGGGTATTGAAAATGTCAATCTATACCTAACACACAGTGTTATTTGGATTTATTTTTGGAATGAAAAAGCTTTTAAATGAATTAAACTATGATTTCTTTAATTTATTTAAAAGTAGCATTTTTTTTTTTCAATTAAAATATTTAACTCGGTTAAAGACCTAAATAGGACATAAGAAGGACACAGATTCTTGCACACTCGTATGGCTGGTTTGGCCTCAATTACATAATTTGCTTCCCCATTGTGAGCGTGAGTATGGTGCCCTGTGAAAAGTCAAAAGGATGCCCTGGTCTGTACTGGTTAACCACAGCATACTTTTCAATTTGTCTCCATGATTTGGAGATAACTGTAGAGATTTCTATAGGGTTATTGGATTTTCATTTTATTTATTAATTTTTTTTTAAAAGTTTTTATTTGCAGAATTCCACATTACAAATATGAGTAAACTGTTGACATCAGTACAATACAGTTGTGTAACAGTATGCGATCAATATATCAGAAGCGGGTACAATTAGTACAAGTAAATTTAGTATAAGTATAGTAAATTAAACATGTAAGCAACCAGTCATGGGGTATGTTTATTCATTAACGATGGATCTCACAGCTAACCCCCTGGGTTCCAGCCCTGCGGAGCTTGGGCTTGTGGTCTCGAGGTAGAGTGTTGTAAGTATGTGCACCATCGGGACCATATGGAAGTGTAAACGTGATATTTATCCGACAGGGAGTTGCATATCTCCTCCATACATCTTGTGTTCTCTACGTTCTGTATCCATTCCCTGATGGATGGGGGGTTGGGTTTTTTCCAGAACATAGGGATCAACTGATTTACTGCTGTCAACAGGTGTAAAAGCAATTGTGTACATGTTCTGAGGAGATTTTTGGGGGGTAGAAGGAAGATAAAGGTGTTTGGGGTCAGCGCCACTCTTTCCCCCAGGATTGTTTGTATGAGACCTGCAATACATAGCCAATATTTCTGTATCTCTGGACATGTCCACCGAACGTGTGAAGCTGTGCCATTGGGTTGGTGGCACCTCCAGCAGCTAGTGGAGGAATGCGGGAACATGGAGTGGAGTCTTACCGGAGTATAGTACCACCTACCTATTCTTTTATGAATGTTACGGAATATTTTGCGCCAAGTTTCGGGCGGTATGGTGATGTTAAGCTCCGCTTCCCAGGATAATGTGAAGGCTGGGAGGTGTTTACGTTGTGTAGTGAGGATTAATGCATACATTGTGGAGATAATCTTTTTTTTTTTTTTTTTCATACAGTGGTGCTCGAAAGGTGTGGGATCTCTTAGTGTGCCCTGGGCCAAGGGACCCATCTTCAGAAAATGTATGAGTTGGTTATAGTAGAAGGTTTGCATTGTTGTGATTTTGTTTTCTGGAATCAGTCTGTGGAGGGGTTTTACCCCAGACCCGTCGGTTACTGCCTCTATCAAGTAGTGGGATTTGTGGTATTGCTTGTAGGTTTTGCCATCTGCTCCAGAAAGGGAATAGCGGATTGTACGTGATTGGGTATAGTGGAGAGGGGGAAGGGGACATGTTGTGGTGGTTTCTTACATGTGCCCACATTCAGAGTGGAGTGTGGGGGTCATAGTAGAGTGAGTGATGGGATGTTATAGAGCTGTGCTAGTTTTGTGCCATGGGATAGTATAGATTGGGGTTCGAAAGCAGGCATCTTCCAGTTTCACCCATTGTTTGTCAATGTGTGGATCACACCATTCATATACTCTAGCTAGCAGGGCAGCCCTGTGGTATAGTTCTACATCTGGGAGAACCAGCCCTCCCTCTTCCTTTGGTCTCTTAAGTAGTGTAAAGGGAAGTCAGGGTCTCTTAGCAGCCCATTTAAAGGTGGTGAAAACCTTGCGTAGAGTGTTGAAAAGTTGCTTGGGTAGCGAGATAGGTAGAACTTGTATGAGGTAGAGGATGCGTTGCAGGACGTTCATCTTAAAGTGGCACTGTCATGCCGAATCCTGTTTTTTTTTTTAACCCCCTTCCGGCCTCCACTACATCTAACTAACACCCTAGTCACGCCCAAATGCCCCTAAGCCCCCCACATTACCTATTTTTTATTCCTTATTTTCTGCCCCGATCTATATTCAGGGCACCGCCATGTTTGTGAGGGTAGATGAAGTCCCTGTGGGACACGTCATCAGCCCACATTAGACAGACTGTGAGATTCCCGCACATGCCCAGTGAAACACCTGGACACGCGAACGGGAATTTCATCTATTCATTCATTCATCAGACAGACAAATAAGTGAATAGAAATATCAGCCAAAATTAAAATCTCCCCAATGCCCCTACTCGCTATACCGCGAGCAGGGGCATGTTCACTAAACAGTGAGCAGCCTGTGGCTGCTCATTGTAAAAAAAAAAACTAAAAAAATACTATTGGCCCCCACCCCTAAACGATGGGTGGAGGCCCTAAAGTAAAATAAGGGGGGAGACCTAATGTCCCCGGCCCCCATCCCCGGGCGGTGGGTGGGGGCCATAATAATAATGAGGGGGGACCTACTGCCCCCCCTGCTCCCACCCCTGGGCGGTGGGTGGGGGCCATGAAGATAATGAGGGGGGGACCCACTCTCCACCCCCCCCTCCGGCCCCCACCCTGGGTGGCAGGTGGGGGCCATAAAAATAATGAGGGGGGATAATGAGGGGGGGACCTACTGTCCACCCCCCCTCCAGCCCCCACCCCTGGGCGGTGGGTGGGGGCCATGAAGATAATGAGGGGGGGGGCCTACTGTCATCCCCCCGCCCCCAACCCTGGGCGGCAGGTGAGGGCCAAATGATAATGAGGGGGCGGGACCTACTGTCCTCCCCTCCCCCCGGCCCCCACCTCTGGGCGGCGGGTGGGGGCCTTAAGTCAATTTCCCCCCCCACCAAGGTGACTAGGGGTCCCCAAGCCCCTAGTCACCCACCACCCCACCCAAATAAAAAGTCCCTACCTACCCCCCTCACCCTAAAAAATAGTGAGGGGGGAATAAAATAACTAACCTGTAAAATAAAATTAAACTTACCATTCGACGTCTTCTTTTTTCTCAAATCTTCATTTTTCAGCCCCAAAAAAGGCCAAATAAAAAAACAACATAACCGTCGAACTGAAAATAAAATAAAAATCCTGAGCGCAAAAAAAAAAAACAGACGAAAAAGAAAAAAACCGAGCACAAAAAAATAATCCATCTTCTTATAAAGCCTTGCATTTAGGCTAAGAACACTCTGATTGGTGGGTTTAAGCCAATCAGAGTGCTCTTTGTCATTTTACACAGCGTGGGAAAATTCAAAAGAACTTTCCCACGCTGTGTAAAATGACACAGAGCACTGATTGGATGGCTTGAAATCCATCCAATCACAGTGCTCTGTGTCATTCTGCGCGGAGCCCTCCATGGGTGAAGATGGATTATTTTTTTGCGCTCGGGTTTTTTCTTTTTCGTCTGTTTTTTTTTTTTTGCGTTTGGGATTTTTATTTTATTTTCAATTCAACGGTTATGATGGTTTTTTATTTGGCCTTTTTTGGGGCTGAAAAATGAAGATTTGTGAAAAAAGAAGACGTTGAATGGTAAGTTTAATTTTATTTTACAGGTTAGTTATTTTATTTCCCCCTCACTATTTTTTTAGGGTGAGGGGGGTAGGTAGGGACTTTTTATTTGGGTGGGGGGGTGGGTGACTAGGGGCTTGGGGACCCCCTAGTCATCTTGGTGTGGAGGGGGGAAATTGACTTAGGGCCCCCACCCGCCGCCCAGGGGTGTGGGCCGGGGGGGGGGGGGGACAGTAGGTCCCTCCCCATTATCCCCATGGGTATGATCACCCCACCCAGCCGCAGGGGTGGAACCAGGGGACATTAGGCTCCATTTTACTGTAGGCCCCCTCCCGCTATTTATGGGTGGGGGCCAATAGTATTTTTATTTTTGAGCAGCCACAGGCTGCTCACTGTTTACAGACATGCCCCTACCGCGGTATAGTGAGTAGGGGTATATTATTTACTAATACTATAATTTTACTTAGTATTAGTAAATGTGGCTGAAAGACCAATTTAGGTCTTTCAGCCTTTTAGTAGATAACTCCCTGATACCGTGGGAATTAGGTAGTTATCTACTAAGCGGCTGCAAGATGCAGCCACAGCACGAATAGGATCGGAGTTTCATTCATTCGAATGAAATTGCGATCCTAATAAAATACCCGAATTGCGTTCTAAAAGAAACGAACATACTGTTCTCATTCAGTTAGAACGCAATTCGGCAGTTTAGTGTAAAGTGACAGGAAGCATTGCGGGAACACTGAGGAAAGGTAAGAATTATGGGAAAAGTGCTCTGACCAGCGGAAATGAAGCACACTTTGCTCCTCCGCTGGTCAGAGCTGGTCAAGCGGAGGAATTCTTCATAAGGCAAAGAGTCCCTACTTTGTCTTATGATTTTAAAGAAAACTAAAGAAGACAGGAAGAAAAGAAGAACAGATCCTGAGAGAGGGGGAGAAGAGGAAAAGATTGAGGAAAGGTAAGTTCGGCATGACAGTGCCGCTTTAAGGATGTTTAGTCTGCAGAACCATCCAAATTGGGGCATGTTCCAAATTGAGGTCTGTGGTTATTGCTCGTATCAGGTCAGGAAAGTTTTTGTTGCATATCTAGGAGTATGTGCACTCCTAGATATTTGAGTGTCTCGGTCACCCACGTGAAAGGATAGTCTTGTCGAAGTTGTTCTTTAGTGTTAGGGGGGATTTCGCATTTGCCAAGGTTCACGAGGAAGATCGATAGCTATATTGCTATATTGTGCCATTTCGGCCATTAAGTGGGGCAGTGAGGTAGCTGGGTGAGTGATTGTGAATAGCATGTCGTCTGCAAAGGCAGCTGTTTTATAGGCAGTGTCTCCCACTTGGATACCTCAGATAAGGGGATTGTCTCTTATTCCCTGCAAGAACGGTTCTAGGACTAGTACAAACAAGAGGGGTGAAAGGGGGTACCCTTGTCTTGTGCCGTTGGAAATCTGAACTGGGTCTGATAATTGAACATTTATGCGTATTTGTGCTGTGGGTTTGGAGTATATGGCCCCCAACCACTTCATCCAGTTTTGGCCAAAGCCCATGTGCTGCAGTGTGTGTCTCATTAGGGTCCAGTCCACCCTAACGAACGCCTTTTCGACATCAATTGACAGGAGTAGACTGGGGTCCCCCGAGCGTTTTGCGTGGTGAATGAGGTTTAAAATCCTGGTCGTGTTATCATTAGCCTCCCTCTCTGGTACGAATCCTGACTGATCTGGATGGATTAACTCCAGGAGGAGTGGGCGTAAGCGATTTGATAATATTTTGGTGAAAAGGTCTATATTGATGAGGGATATAGGCCTATAACTTCCACATTTAGTAGGGTCTTTCCCTGGTTTGGGCAGGAGCGTACTTGTGGCATTCAATGTTTGTGGTGGAAAGCTTGTCTGTTGTAGGAGGGAGTTAAATGAGTTGAGGAAAGATTGGGCAAGTGTTGCAGAGAACACTTTGTAGTATTTTGCCGTGTAGCCATCTGGGCCTGGGCTTTTCCCCTGTGGTAAATGTTGGATTACCTCCTGGAATTCCTGGAGAGTAATGGGTTGGTCTAGTGAGTGCCTGAGGTTAGCTGGGATGGTAGAGAAGATCCTGTGTGAAAGGAATTTGTGGAGCTCTGCGCTTGAGGGGGGAGCAGTCCTTAGGTTGTAAAGTGAAGAGTAAATTTCATGAAACGCTTTGGTTATGTCCGACAGGAGATGGGCTGTATTGCCTTCTGTGTTTTGTATTGCAGCTACGAAGTTGGATTCCCTTTGTTTTTTCAGCGCATGTGCTAGCAGATGCTAGCAGATGGCCACTTTTGCCTCCCTCAGCATAGTACAAACTCCTTGTGTCAGTTTGCGTTTGGACATTTAAGTGGATGTTAAGTTCTGATCTCTTGTTTACGAGTGTTTTGTATGTTTCTAGGGCCAGATTGGCCTTGTGTGTTTCTTCTAGATCTCTGATTTCTCTGAGGAGTTGTGTCACTTGTGAATTTCTTTTTTATGTGCGGATGCTAGGTGAATGAGCGTGCCCCTAATTGTGCATTTATGAGCCTCCCAGATAGTAGGGTGGGAAGAGTCTGTTTGTGTATTGCGAGAGAAATAGTGGTCTAATTCCGTGGATAGGTGGTCTCATATGTCGGGTAAGTTTAGGAGTGTATCGTTCAATTTCCACTGGGGCCTTGAGGCATGTAGGAGAGGAACATTGATGGTCATAGCTAAAGGAGCGTGATCTGACCAAGTGATTGGTGCATATGAGCAAGAGGATATAAGGTTAAGAAACCTGTGGGGAAGGAAAAACATATCTATTCTCGAGTAAGAGTCGGTTGAGTGAGAGTAGTAGGAATAATCTTTTTTTGATCTCCAGCAGTCGTACATTTGGTGTAAGTCTAGCAGTCGTTGGATGTGTGTTTTTGTTGATGAGAGGTAAGAATGTGCTTGAGAGGTGGTGTCTAAGGAGATGTTAAAGTCCCCTCCCAAAACTAGGAGACCCTCAGCGAAGGCCTCCAATTTTTGGAGTATCTTCCGAAGGACAGGAAATTGCTTCCTATAAGGTAAATATACATTTGCAAAGGTGGTCATGGTGCACCCCACTGTACCCTTAAGAAATATGGATCTCCCGTGTTCAGCAGCCTTATGTTCCTTATATGTGGAGGGGAGGCGAAAGTGTAATAGGATTGAGACTCCTCTGGATTTAGACCCTGGGAAGTTGGAAGTTGCTGAAATAGCCCCTCGGGTATCGATTGTTTCTAAATGAGGGAAAGGGAGTTTCTTGTACATAGACCATCTCTGCTTTTTGCTTATGATAGTCTGCCAGGGCTAGGTAATGTTTCTCTGGGGTGTTTAAGCCCTGTGCGTTGTGTGTGAGAACTGTTATAGATGCCCCTAATGTTGCCATGATTCGTGGTGCAGTGGGGAGTGAGGTGCCATGGATAGGGCTCTGTGATGTACGTCAATTGTCTTCGATGTCAGCCTTGTGGTATGTAGATTATAACAATAGAACAAACAAACAAACAGTCAAACCCTGTATACCAGAGTGAAGACAAATATAAACTAGAAAACTATATACAATAAGTTAGTTCCAAAGCGTGTTTGGAGTCTTAATTAGTGTTGCGGCTTGGTGAACTGATATCAGCTGGTGCCCGTCTCTGCTGTGTTCCGTATACCACAGAGGATTTAGTATTGAATATGAGATAACCGCCTGCGGTGGGGGGAGAGGGTAGGGGAGGTGGTTGATGCGTGCACTAGATTGTTGGTTGTTCGTTTGGTACTGGGGTGTGCGCGTAACAGATGTTCAATAGATCTGTCGTGGAAGTCAGTTAGATAAAAAAAAATTGGGGGGGTTCTATGTGTGTGAGCTTGAGGGTTAGCAGGCATATTATGTGAGTGTATAATTCTGCTTTGGTATGTCAATAGTAAAACTACTGGCCCCCCCTAGCTTCCCCCATGTGCTAATGGCTGTGTTTAATACTATACTACAGAATGCTAACGTCGGTGTCATAGATTGACCCTGTGTGGGGAGGAGTGGTTGGTCCTCGGGTTAGCCTGTCCCCTATTAGTTTGTTTGCTACGAAGTAACATGTATACAATATAATACAGAACATTACATTTCAGTTGTTACAGATGTGTAGCAGATATACTACCCAATCTGGGGTGAGGTGCCCATGTGAGTTGCTCTAGAGGTGATTACAGAGTTCGTCTTTCTCTTGCGTTGTGGGCAGTCCCCAACCGGAGATAATGTCTCTGGGATCGGTGCTCTAAGTTAACCTCGTAAGAGAGAGGGGTGGGGGTGTAGTCCCTATATTAACATGCAACGTTGTGATGACTTGCAGTGAAAGACAGTTCAGAACATATTATACATAACAATAGAGTCTTAGAGTCTTAATAATACTGGTTTTGGGAAAACATACGACCTGATCCAGAGGGCTGATGCTCGCTTGGTTGAGAGTTCAAGGCGGTACTAGAGCCCTGCTGGGTCCTGCGTCGGGATCTCCCCTGGAAGATGGTGTCGGGAGGACCGTAGTCAATGTGGGGATAATCCCTGGGGCGGGGAGATACAGTCCATTGCTTGCCTGTGTGGCTGCTGGGGGAAGCAGTGGTTATGAGGGGGTGCCAATGAACTGCTTGCAGTGTTCAGGTGGGGGATAGTCAGTTATGGATTCCTGCCAGTTTGTCAGGGGGTGCTCCCATGGGCAATAGGTCTTTCAGGGTTGGTGAAGTGTGGGTGGTATCGGTGTTGGACGTCCTCCGGATAGTCTGCGTTCTTCGGCTATGGGGTGTCCGTTGGGCTTGTTCTCTACGTTTTCTAAGGTGTACACCTTTGATGTCACTGATGACGTTGGTTGAGTGATAGGGCTGGGTCGGGGGCATACCAGTCCATGATCCTCCCCTCTCTGAGGTCCAGTGCCTAGACGAATGGTGTAACATCTCAGTGAGTTGCAATCACGTGGGTGATTCCCCTGTGAGTGGCTTGAGCACGAATGGCTATCTCCACCTGTACCAGATTGCTCTGGTTCGTAGTTGGTCCATTATGGGTTTGGGAAACCGTCTGGCTTGCAACGTGAGCCATGAGAGGTCCTGGTAGATTTGGACCTCATGGCCGTGGAATAGTAGTGGAGGATTAGTGTTACGCAGCTTTTTCAGTATGTTTTCTTTGACTGTAAAGTAATGGATTCGGCATATGACGTCTCTCGTTTCCCTATCTTGGGTTTTTGGCCTTAATGAGCGATATGCTTTGTCCAGGAGGATCTGTGTGTCCGTCGGCTGGCCCACTATTAGAGTAAATAGTTCCTGCAGAACAGACTGGATATCCACCCCCTCCACTTCCGGTAGGCCTTTGATCCGCAAGTTATTTCTTCACCCTCTGTTATCAATATTGTCTAATGATCGTTGAAAGAGTGACAGTTGAGAGTTCTGGTTTGCGATCTTAGTGGTTAGGGAGTTTAATTGGGCCTGTATGGTACACCTATCATCTTCCAGCTCCTGGACCCGCTGTCCTACCTGCCGGATCTCTGAGCACATGCCGTCCATTTTGCGTTGAACGGATGACTCCAATCTGCCTAGCATATATGTGAGGTCGGCTTTGGAAGGTAAGTTCTTGATAAGGTCCCTAATGTCGAGGTATGTGGAGGCTGCTGAGACCTCTGATGCCACTGGGCTCGGGGGAGCAGAGTATGATCCGCCGGAGCCATGTTGGAATCTCCATTCTCCGACATACGGTCTGTATATTCCTTGAACAGTTTGGGGACGGAGCCCATTTTACCTGCCGGGGTCTTCCCAGAGCTAGTGTTGGTGCTGTGCAATCTTTTGGGGTTCCCCATCGTGGCTTGTCAGGTCCTCCGTGCGTTTTTTGTGCCTGCTATTCCCGGAGCTGCTCTAACATGCGGCCATTCTGAACGGCGATCAGCCACGCCCCCTTGGATTTTTATTTTGTATACGTTTTTTTCTGCAATAAATAATCTGGAGCTACAGTAATACTGTATACTATAGGACTCAATACCTCTTTAAATAAGGATTCAGATACAATACCCATACATTACACTGGAGCTCCATTGGCATTATTTGAATACTAGCCTCAGTATTGCATACATCTACAGCAACCGGCATTATGATTTTTAAGTAAGCCTGATTCACTCTGTCTACCTAATGATTCAAATTGAAAATTGCAGTCTATAAGCAAGTGTCTAATTGATAGTGACACTCAGACTATCCCTACATATTGGAGATATTTACCTTTGATAAGGTTAATAGGTAGACATAGTCACTTTCCTTGTAATAGTACAGTACTTAGTACTATTAAGGTTTGTAATCTATCTTTACCTTAAGTTAAACCCCTTTATTGGCAATTACTAATAAAGCCAGAAAGGGGGGGGTTTCTTCTGTTAAAGACTACATTTATTAGTCGGAGGCTTAGCCTAAGGGCTTTGGAATTTCAAACCTGACTTTTCTCAACACAATTTAGCTAAGTGTTTATTGGACATTGTTAATAAAATCTCCAGTTAACACTCACACAGAGTTCTTTTGTGGGAGAGTCCTATCTTTAATAACAAGAGTTAAGCCCTGAGACACCACTGGAGTGTCTCTCTGGTAATTTTATTCAGGTGAAGGGGTCTTGCAAGCGCAGACCACTTGAAGCTGAATATCAATAAATATACAGGACAATATACAATACAAAATATATTTTTGGATAACATTCATTTTTTTTCTCAACTCTTTACCTTAAAAATAATTTTTGTCATTCATTTACATAATTATTTAAAATTAACAACTTGCAATCTATAATGTAATAGTTCTAGCGCTTGATCTTCATAAGATTACAAGCGAACAATCTCCACATGGTATTTATATAAGCAAATGCACATGTGTATTCTATAAATAGAGAAGGATGTGTTTGAGTACACTATATTTGCCTGAATCTCATTTTGCTCCTGGAAGGTGACAATCTGTAGCCTACTGCATCCTCTGTGTTCTACTAACAAACGGGAATTAAGCCTCTTTCACTATTCTATATTACAATGTAGGTAGCTCTATGATATACATTTTACAAGAATAGATATGAATCACAGTTACAACACGCAAGTGGTCACAAATATATAAGAACTCAATAATTGTGAATAACATGGCAAATAATTCAAATAATACAATAGTGAGTGGGTCTGTAAGAGTAATTATTTTTTTTTCTGCCTTAAATGTATATTATATATAAAAAGTATATATAACAGCAACACATTCTCTGTACAAGTGGGAGAAAAAGACTGAGATTTACTAAATAAATATAATGGCACATAGCAATTGTATGAATCTTGTGTTTCTACTTCTCAAAGAAGCTAACCATATCACTAGAAAACTGTAATTACATCTCACCAGTCAATTCTGTAAAATGTATATAATTTGGACCAACGTACATAACATTTTTTTTAATTTTTTTTTAAATAACACATTCTCATGAGAATTGTCCATGTCTTATTATGTGGAACGGTTTACTTCCTATGGTGCGAATTCTGTAATATTTTTTCCTACCCTCTACGTTAACATAAATGATAGTTACCTCTCAATATACTATTTGTGAATTATCATAAAATAGAAGGATCAAAACTTACACTCCACTAGACATGTGGAATTAATTTGTTTTTATAAGGATAGCAAATTAGGGAGTTATCTACTACACAATTAATACTTTATTAAGTTTGCTCTTTCAGCTGTTTAGTAAATATCTCCCTATTTTGGCTTTGTAAGGAGATAACATGAGGGAGTTATCCACTAAACAGCTGAATGTTCAACATTAAGGGCTTTTTATCATTTTGATCTTTCAGCAGGTTAGCAGATAACTCCTTAAATTGGTAGTTTGTAACTTTGTGACAGCCACCTTCTTTAATTTCCCATAGGAAATAATAAGTGCCCGAATTTCAAATACTAACAACATTTTCAAATGAATTTTGTTTAGCCCAAATTAAATATTTTCAAAATTTTGGACGAATTTTCACATTAACATGATTAATCATAAGGTGAGATACATCCTTTTACAAAGTAGCATATAATAAAGGAGATTGGTTCTTGGGCAAAATACAAATGCATGAGACACATATTGAAATGACATTCATGCAATAATAAAATCACATTCTGTCAGACAGAGTGCCATGATAAGTACACATATCCTGACTAACTAAATTGTTAAAAAAGAAACCAGAAAGAATAACCATCCATATAAACCTCAAAAGATAACACTAGAAACATAAAGCATGTTGCATAATGGAAGAAACAAAAATCTATACATTACAGATGGATAACCTTGACACTACATATGCTAAATACACTTTGCTTGGCTGACTATTTTTATTTTAACATGTCCTTGCCCTTTACAAAAATTAAACACTTTTTTGTGCTGGTTTATTTGTGCTATTATTTTGAGAAGGGGGATCTTGATTTTATTGTCCATTGTTATGACTACCTCGTTACAAAATATACTAAAGAAAAATGAGAATGCAGTTCAACAGGGTTTGCATGGTTCACAGTTTATGTTTATTTTATACTGTTTGGTCATAAAAACATTTTTCAGGTGAAACAATGAACAATTATAATATTACTTGAAAAATACCTGCTTCTGTCATTGCAGGCAGATCCCAACCACAAGGATCTGTGCACCAAAGGAAGAAAACTACTTTATGACTGATACATTAATAGTCCTTCGCCCTTTTTTTTTTTCAGTGTTATCATTTGCAGTCAGAACAATGTGACCATTTTAAATATCAAATAATATACTCTGTCCCATCACTCTCTAAACATCTACCCTTTCAACATTAGATTTGTGCATGGAGGAATGAATTCGTTCGACAAAAAAAATTTGTTTAGTCCAAAACAGATTTCAGACGTCGATTTGTTTCAGACAAAATTTTTCTGATACTTTCAGGTTGGTATTCCCATTCGGATGATTGGAATGTTACGAAAGCTGTAAAATCTTTCTTTGGTTTAGAAAATAGATAAATCCCTTATTTTGTACCCTTATCTGGAATTGTCATATTTAAGGGTATTACATATTCTTAAATATGGCAAGACCACATGAGGAAACCAAATTAGGGAGATATTTGCAAAGCAGCCGAAAGAACAAAAGAAAAAGGGTTTCATTAATGTTGATCTTTCAGCACCTTAGTAGATAACTCCCTTAGTAAAAGTGGGAACCTTATGTGGGATTGTCAGATTTTAGGGTACCTTTATTTGGTATCCTTAAATATGACAACCCCACATAAGGATACCAAATGATTAAACTGGCTTTTTTTTTTTATATAACATTAGAAGTACATATAATATTATAATTACGATATTATTGCAAGTTGAACTATCGCCAGTTATATAGGTTAATATTAATTTCTCTTGTTTGGAGAACAACTGAAATTAAGTGTTCATTGTATATAAATAGATATACAGAAAGAAGATTGAGGTATTTTTTATTTTATAACATTGTTTGCTGTAAAAAATTTTTTTATCTTATCTCTATACACACTAGCTAGGATGGATTCCCCACAAGGCTACCTAGACCACGGCTTCAAAAGGAGGAAGGTGGTTGAGCTGGTGACAGTACGGACAGCGAATTTGTATTGCATGACACCAGGAAATTTCACAGTGGACCAAGGTATTTAGGGTCAGTTGTGGTAATACATTTATTTTAAGCTTACTTGCATCTGTTCTTGTGGGATGTCTTTGGCAAGTGAGAATTTCTGGTGTTTTGACAATATCATATTGTGCTGCTGATTTCTGGTGTGTTGATATCAAATTCATATTGCGCTGCTAGGACTGGCACTGGGATTATTCTGTGAAGCGGCAGAATATTGTGTGTTCTTCCTGGAGCTGTGAAAGCATCCCTGCAACTATGTGTGAAGAGCAGAGCTGTGTGAGTCTCCTGGGTTCCCATGTAAGAATGGGGCTGGTTACATACTGGCTCTCCCCTCACATGGAGTAATAAACACACTACTTATTTTGAACTGGCTTTATTATTGTATTATTGTTAGATTAATACACAAACTTCCCTTAGTTAATTGGAACCCTATTGGACCTTTTGTATATTTTACCCACCTCTAGGTCGACGGAGACCTATGAATAATATCATTATATTTTTAATGGTCTTCTGATTGTTTCAATGTTAATTTTATTTTTAGAGGACAATTGTCACCTCAGAATTATTTAGCATAATCATTTCTTCAAGTTGAAAGTAAAGCCTTTTTTTAAATAAATAGGATCATTCACTCATATACATGCACCTTGGGTCAGAGAGTGCTTGAAAATCAACAGTAAGTCTCTCAGGTCTTCTCTGCAGTGAAGCATTATATAATCTGTGTGTATAATTTGTGTCTTTTAAAGTTTTTATTTATTTGCCTTATATCGAAAAGTAAGTAAATATGTATATAGGATGTGTGTCTATATGACTATATGTTTCTTTATGACATTGTGTGTGTTTGTAGGACTGTGTGTTTCTGTATGACTATATGTCTGTTTGCTGTATGACTGTGTGCATATTTGTATAAGTTTGTGTCTTAACAGATGCGTGTATGTATGTGTGTGTCTGTGTGCCTCTGGAACATTATTGCAGTCAGCATGCGGAGGGTAGGATAACCAGGCAAGTGCACATAACAATAAGTACAACACATTTGTTTAGTTATTCACTGTTCCACTCAACAGACAAGGAGGCAGGACAACAACTTTATTGTTCAATACACAAGAACAATATTGAGAGCACGTTATGATTATATTTCAACACCCCCACTTGCTCTCACATACATTTTTAACAGCAAACATTTATATTTTGAGAAACTTTCATTCCAGACAAATATTTCCAAGAACCTCGTTGCAGGCTTAATCATGATACCTGATATCAACCTACCCATTGGGCAGTAATCAAGGACTATGCCACCATAATAGATCACTGAAAAGGTTACATGGTATTTGAAATCAATATGTTTACATCTTTTATGACAAACTAGATTTCTTAAAAGAGCTAAAGCTTCTTAATCATCCCCAAAGACTTGTACTGATTGATAGTGACACTGATTGAACAGTAACTGAGTAACAGTAACATGTACAAGCCTTCTTGTGTAGTCACAGTTAAAGTAATCTATTCAATATCCAGTCATGTTCTTGCTATCGCTCACCCTGGAGGCCCATCATTGTCTGCTTCCTGTTCAGTTCTTACTTACACTTCTTGTAGCATAACTCAGAGTTGAGTATCTCATAAAATGTTTAGCTGGGACCAAATGCTGGTCTGTTGGTTGTGACAATCACTGTGATAGTTTAAGGATTATCCATCTTAAAGCCAGCCTTGTACAGGTTATTTTGCATTGCCACACTATAAAAGTTCTAACCTAATGCATGTAAAATAGTTTAACATATTTTATTTCTTTTCATATGTAGCCATTTCTAATGCGTTTGTGACTCTCAGATGTTAATTTCAGCATACAAATTATCACTATGTTTATCTATTTTATATAATCTGGGCATTGATATAGCAGACTATATTTTTGTTCTTAATAAAATTGTTAGCTTGTTTGTATTTCTGAATTATTTATGTAGAGAACAAGGCACATAATTTCCACTAGCCATTGGTGAGTAAATATTCAGCAGTGGCAAGTATATATTCAGCCCTGGTGGGTATGCTGTGTCTTGCAGTGCTGAGTAACTTTTAAGGCCTTGCAAATAGCAAAAAAAAAACATTGCATTTGAAGCCCTGAATATGATCTACAAAACAGCTGCAAACCTTTAACCTCTAATCTTATTTATTTTCTAACTTGTCATTCCTTTTAGCAACACATTTTCCAGAAAGTGTTTAGCTGTCAATGGCCATAATCCCCAGCAATCATGATATGTCTGCTGAGACATTTTTCACTAAATGCTCTCCTTTTCTCATATCAATGTGTTTATTCACTAAACTCTGAATTGTAGCAAATTAAGATTTAATGGAAAAACAGACAAAACATCTTGAAAATCTGGACAAGCCGCTGGGCCCCTTCTAGATGTCAGGCCCAAAATCCGGAAAACAAGTGCCCAAGTGTCAGTCTACCACAGGGCCTACATCTCACAAAAGGACCATATATTCCTTTCTACTCGCCAGAATAGTTGTTTTAACTTCATATTGTAAAATAAAAACCCTAGTATACAGTGTGATACATATACCACAAGGTCCATCAGTCTCAGTGCAGTACTCTTTGTAGTTCCTTTAATGTAATGGTTACTGAATACAAAGTATACCAGAGTTCCATAGCAATAAACACACATACAGCACCATGAATGTAAATGTGTGTGAATGGGAGAGTAGAGATGGAGGGGGAGGCATGGAGGGGAAGAGGGAGAGGTAGAGGGAAAGGTAGAGGGAGAGAGACCACACATAGAGGGATGGCTGTGTATAGATTCAAATGCCTTCCCAAATCTCCTCTTTCAACCTTATTTTGGCATCCATGTTTTCTGACATTATTGCTCTCTCTTTCTTGGTCTATTCCACTTTTCCAAAACAGTTTACAGATTTCCCCTACCTTTCTTCAGTAATATCCCATTTTTACCCCCTTCCACTTAAACATCTTTCTCAAAACTACTACCTCCTCTTTACTCTAGCTCCCCCCTTTCTCTGCAGTTTACCTGGGCCCACCAAATGTTTCCATTTCTGTCCCCTGTACTTCCTTTTACCAGTCGACCGTATCACTAGTCCCCTTACCATTCATCACTGCTCACTGAGTTCTAAGCACAGCTCCCCATGGCTAGCTTTATTGAGAATGTAATTACATGTCACTCAGAACAAGCCACCATTAGTTGTGTAGTGCAGAGCCCAAGCACCAGTACTTGCAGGTGTACTAGTTTACCTATTAGGTCAGACCAGACAGGTGAAAACAAGCATTGATCGATGTGTGGTATCATAATTCAGAGGTTAGTTGGGATGCATCATTAGGGTATCAGGACACAGATTGCCTTTTCAAGTATTGCAGCCAGGGTTCCCAAATGTCCTGGTATTGGGTATATCTATCAGTAAAGGAGTAGTTTATTTCCTCTAGTAAATGTAGTGAGTCAACCTTGTCTACGTCCCTCAGGTCAGTACCCATTTGGAAGAGGATGGGGACAATCCGTCGTTGGATGACTCCAGAGTAAGTTGGGGCCTACAGCGGTCGTGCCGTGATCGCGGAAAAACTTGGTTAGAGCCCCCGATTTCCCAGCCGAGTGTTTTCTAGAGGCTTGCTGCGATGTTAGGGAGCATTTGGGATGTCCCATTTTTAATTGTGAGCCCGATGTTTAGGGATTCCCCTTTCTAGGAGATGGAGCTCTTTCAGAAAACAGCCATTCTGCTCAGAGGTTGGCTCTGCCTCCAACATCAACTAATATTATGAACAATTAAAAGAGCAGGACTTTGAGACACAGCAAATTGAGTTCATTTAAAATGTCATCTTCTGCACCTAATCAAACAAATCTGTTGTTAAGCATTCATTGTATGTAATATCACTGAAATTGGTTAATTCATAAAAAAGTGAATGACTCCTCCAACCCTTTTCTGAATTTTGGCCCACAGTGTAATTTAAATTAAACAAAACCCATTTATGACAAAACAAAAATCTGTATCTGAATGAAGACATACAACTTAATTTTGTGATAAGCAATTTTAAAGAATGTTCTGGAGCCTTTTTTTTATTATATATACAGGGCCGGCGCTACCTGTAAGGCGACCTAGGCGTCAATTTTTATTTTGCCTAGGGCGGCATAAATCCTTGCACCGGCCCTGTGTATATATATATATATATATATATATATATATATATATATATATATATATATGAAAGGTTAACACATTTAAACCTATTTAGTTTAGAAAAACGTCGCCTGAGAGGGGATATGATAACATTATACAAATATATTCGGGGCCAATACAAACCATTGTGTGGAAATCTATTCACAAACTGGACTTTACAGAGGACACAAGGCCATGCGTTTAGACTGGAAGAAAGAAGATTTCGTCTAAGGCAAAGGAAAGGTTTTTTTTACTGTAAGAACAATCAGGATGTGGAATTCTCTGCCTGAAGAAATGGTTTTATCAGAGTCCATACAGATGTTCAAACAGCTACTAGATGCATACTTGCAAAAACAGAGTATTCAAGGATATAATCTTTCAATGTAGGGTAATAACTGCTTGATCCAAGGATAAATCTGACTGCCATTCTGGGGTCAAGAAGGATTTTTTTTCCTAGCTTGTTGCAAAATTGTGCTTCAAACTGGGTTTTTTTTGCCTTCTTTTGGATCAACAGCAAAAAACAAAATGTGAGGAAGGCTGAATTTGATGGACGCAAGTCTCTTTTTTTCAGATATGTAACTACCGTGTTTCTCCGAAAATAAGACCGGGTCTTATATTAATTTTAGTCACAAAAAACACACTAGGGCTTATTTTCAGGGTAGGGCTTAGAGCCAGTCTGTCAGCCGGTGTCCACGCTGTGTAAACTCTAGAGACCCTCACCTCCCTCCCCTGTAATACCTCCTGTAATATTCTCCCCTCCCTCCCTCCCTACCTGTAATACTCTCCCTCCCTGTAATATTCTCCCCTCCCTCCCTGTAATACTCTCCCTCCCTGTAATACTCTCCCTCCCTGTAATATTACCCCCCTTCCCTGTAATATTCTCCCCTCCCTCCCTGTAATATTATCTCCCCCCTCCCTCCCTGTAATACTCTCCCCCTCCTTCCCAGTAATATTATCCCCTCCTCCCTCCCTGTAATATTATCCCTCCCTCCCTGTAATATTATCCCCCCTCCTCCCTCCCTGCCTGTAATACTCCCCCTCCCTGGCTACTCTCCCCTCCCTCCTGTAATACTTCCCTCCTGTGGCTACTTCCTCTCGTATTACTTCGGTCATTTCCCTCTCCTCCCTGTAATACTCTCCCTGTAATACTTCTCTCTCTCCTGTGGCCATTCTCTCCCTGTAATACTCCCCCCCTCTCTCCCTGTAATACTCTCCCCCTCTCCCTGTAATACTCCCTCCCCCTTCCCTGTAATACTCCTCCCCCTCCAATCTTCTCCTCACCTGCTCTTCCCTGTAGCGTGGCCGAGCTCCTCTCCGGTCCGCGACCTGGCCAGACTGACAGGAGAGGAGCTCGGCCATGCTACAGGGAAGGGGAGGTGAGGCAGTGCGGCAGCAGTCTGAGCGCTCTCTATAGAGCGCTCAGTCGGCTGTGGCATTTATATTGCAGCCCACCCCGATAATCCAGCTAGGGCTTATTTTCGGGGTAGGTCTTATTTTCGGGAAAACACGGTATGTAACTATGTAAATTACATATGTATAATGTATTTACATTTTTTTAAATATTTTATTTCTTTTATTATTTTTATTTATTATTGTAATTATACGTGTATATATAAATAAATATAAAATTTATATAGGTGATCATATATATGTAAAGTCATTCTAAGTGTATTTTAATACACATATATGTACTTATATTAACATTAAGCCCTTCTCTGAACTCTCTCTAAAGTATCAATATCCTTCTGGAGATACAGTCTCCAGTACTGCGTACAATACTCCAAGTGAGGTGTCACCAGTGTTCTGTACAATGGCACAAGCACTTTCCTCTTTCTTCTGCACCCTGTAAAACCAAGCATTCTGCTAGCATTTTCTGCTGCTCTATTACATTGTCTTCCTACCTTTAAGTCATCTGAAATAATTACTACTAAATCCCTTTCCTGAGATGTTGAGGTTAGTAGGGTATCAAATATTCTATACTCTGTCCTTGGATTTTTACGCCCAAGATGCATTATCTTGCACTTATCCACATTAAATGTCAGTTGCCACAGCTCTGACCATTTTCTTCTAGTTTACCGAAATCATCGCCATTTGGCTTGTCCCTGCTGGAACATCAACCCTGTTACATATTGTGGCGAAACCGGCCTCGCCACGTGTCCTTGGAGGGGGCTGCTTGCCCGCCTCTTGCCTTTGGACTATGGACCAGACTTTATGTGAATGTGTTAACCCAGATAGCTATGCCATGGAGCCCATTCGTGTAGTTAAAGACTTGGCTCCATGGCAATTGAACTGTGTGAATAGGATCTGAGCGCTATTCGGTAGTTTTGTGCGCTCAGATCCCAGCTATCTGGGGATATGTGAAATGTCTGTGTGTATTTTAAAGTGTTTTATGTCTTTTTGCAACCATGTGCTCAATGGAGTCTGCCTCTATCCCTGGATAATTGGATTACTTTCCCCATTGTCTCCAGGATAGAGGGCTCTGTAAAACCTGTTTGAGCCAGATAGCCATGTGCCAGCCAGGGCCCAAAAGATACTTTTACTAACTTTTGAACCCCTGGTCGGATTCATGCCATTTTTTAATATGTTGTTCCCCTGAATGGATTGATTGTGAATATGTAATTTTATGTGAATGTGATGTATGGTTTTAGAGTTATGAAAGTTGGGTAGAAAGTATGTTTTAACTGTATGTGTAATTGAGTTTCCTCTCAGGATAAGGGGAGGGAATATGTGGGATGTAACTGATATGTGATTGGTTGTTTTATACCTCCCTGTGGGCGGTCCTGTATGTGAAAGACTGTAATAAAAACCAGGCTGGGTGTGCCAGCACAGGAGTTCCTGTTTTAACCCTCAAAGTGAAGTGTTGTCTCATTATTGGGGGAAGGATTTATTGTATGCTGTTCCAGTTTGACTGCTAGGAGAGTAAACCTATTCGTATGGTTCCTATTCAACTGTCTACAGCATTCATATGCTTGGGAGAATTTAATTGTTTCTCCGGTTCGGTGATTGTGGTGTCTGCCAGAGTGCTTGGAGTCCTCAGGAAGCGCTAGGAGCATCCTTCAACGGAGGTACCCAGTCGGGGTGCCAGGTGATCCGTTACACATATCTTATAAAATATTTTATAAAATAAAATATTAAAGAGAATGGGTCCAAGTACAGATCCCTGAGGTACCCCACTGGTAACTAGACCTTGCTTTGAATATACTCCGTTGACTACAACCCTCTGTTGCCTGTCACTCAGCCACTGCCTTACCCATTCAACAATATTGGAATCCAAACATAAAGATTGCAGTTTATTGATGATCCTTCTATGTGGAACAGTGTCAAAAGCCTTACAGAAATCTAGGTAAGTAATGTCTACTGCACCACCCTGATCAAAAAGATTAGTTTGGCATGATCTCCCTGAAGTAAACTCATGTTGTCTCTGATCTTTAAATCCATGTGATTTTAGATTTTCAACAATCCTATCATTTAACATGGTTTCCATCACTTTCCCCACTACTAAAGTAATGCTTACTGGCCTATAGTTGCCCGACTCCTCCATACTACCTTTCTTGTGAGTGGGTACAACATTTTCTAATTTCCAATCATCTGGGACTACTCCTGTTAACAATGATTGGCTAAATAAATCCATAAATGGTTTTGCTAGTACACCACTACGTTCTTTAAATAATGTTGGGTGTATTCCATCAGGTCCCATTGACTTATTTGTCTTTACTTTTGACAGTTAAAATAGAAAAACTCTTCCTCTGTAAACGCACATATAACAAAATGACCCATTTGTCCTTTTTCTTAACTGAAGTCCCGCTACTTCATTTTCATCTGTAAATACTGAACAAAAATATTAATTGAGGCAGTCAGCTATATCCACTTCTACATACCTTCCTTCTTTTGTTTTTAATCTAATTAATCCGTGTTTTACTTTCCTTCTCTCATTTCTGTATCTAAAAAAAAAAAAAAAAGTTGTATCTCCTTTTTTCAGTGACTGTGCTATTTTCTCTTGTGTGTGCTTTGAGGCTCTTATAACTTGCTTTGCCTCTTTCGGCCTAATCTTATAGATCTGTCTGCCTTCCTCATTCTGTTTTTTTTTTTCTAATTAATAAAATGCCAACTTTTTGTTTGTTTTTTACTATTTTTGCCACCTCTGCAGAGTACCACAGTGGTTTCTTAATTTTTCTGCTCTTCCTGACAAGCCTAATAGAATTTTTTGTTGCTTTCAGTAGTGCAACTTTTAAATAATCCCATTTCTCCTGGATGCCATTTAAACTGCTCCAGTCTTATAAGGACTCCTTTACGCATATTCTAATTTTAGAGAAGTCTGTTTTTCTAAAATCTAAAACTTTTGTTTTTGTGTGGTGTGACTCAGTCACTTTTCTTATATTAAACCACACTGATAAGGATCTAGTGATCACCAAACTTTCACCTACAGTAATATCTGATAATAAATCTCCATTTGTTAACACTAAATCTAGTATGGCCTCCTTACGAGTTGGTTCCTCAATGACTTGTTTTAGAGATAAACCCAGTAGAGAGTTTAGAATATGTGTGCTCCTTGCACAAGCAGCTGTTTTAGTTTTCTAGTTCACATTCAGAAGATTAAAGTCACCCATGAAAACAACTTCATCCTTCATTATCATTTTAGCTATTTCCTCAACTAGTAGATTATCTAATTCTTCTATTTGTCCAAGTGGGCTGTAAATCACACCTACACAAGTTACTGTATGATTTCCAAATTCTAACGTAACCCAAACGGACTATGTTCGCCTCACTAACTTTTATTGGGCTATGCTATCCTTCACATACAGGGCCACCCCTACCCCTTTTGTGCCGTCTCTGTCTTTTCTATATAAGGAATTGCTTATATTGCTATATCTAAGTCATTGTTCTCATTATACCATGTCTCAGGAACAGCCACTAAATCTTCATTCTCAGTTACCCTTATTGCCACAAGTTCATGGAACTTATTCCCTAAACTGCGAGCTTTTGTAGACATGACTCCAAGATAATTTTTTAACACTCGTTACAGTTACTTTCTGTCCTTGTTTTGGGAGGGAATTGGATTGATGTTTTACCACCCTTTTGTACCCCTTCCTAGTTTAAATACTTCCTAGCAAAACCTCTGAACTGCTCACTGAGAACATATGTTCCCTTTTGAGAAAGATACTGTAACGGATCACCTGGCACCCCGACTGGGTACCTCCGTTGAAGGATGCTCCTAGCGCTTCTTGAGGACTCCAAGCACTGCAGCAGACACCACAACCACCGAACTGGAGAAGCATATGAATCCTCTCAAGCATATGAATGCTGTAGACAGTTGAATAGGACCCATACGAATAGGTTTACTCTCCTAGCAGTCAAACTGGAACAGTATACAATAAATCCTTCCCCCAATAATGAGACGACACTTCACTTTGAGGGTTAAAACAGGAACTCTTGTGCTGGCACACCCAGCCTGGTTTTTATTACAGTCTTTCACATTCAGGACTGCCCACAGGGAGGTATAAAACAACCAATCACATATCAGTTACATCCCACATATTCCCTCCCCTTATCCTGAGAGGAAACTCAATTACACATACAGTTAAAACATACTTTCTACCCAACTTTCATAACTTTAAAACCATACATCACATTCACATAAAATTACATATTCACAATCAATCCATTCAGGGGAACAACATATAAAAAAATGGCATGAATCCGACCAGGGGTTCAAAAGTTAGTAAAAGTATCTTTTGGGCCCTGGCTGGCACATGACTATCTGGCTCAAACAGGTTTTACAGAGCCCTCTATCCATGAGACAATGGGGGAAAGTAATCCAATTATCCAGGGATAGAGGCAGACTCCATTGAGCACATGGTTGCAAAAAGACATAAAACACTTTAAAATACATAAAGTCACCTTTTACACATAACACACAGACATTTCACATATCCCCAGATAGCTGGGATCTGAGTGCACAAAACTACCGAAGAGCGCTCAGATCCTTTACACACAGTTCAATTGCCATGGAGCTGAAGTCTTTAACTACACGAATGGGCTCCATGGCATAGCTATCTGGGTTAACACATTCACATAAAGTCTGGTCCATAGTCCAAAGGCAAGAGGCGGGCAAGCAGCCCCCTCCAAGGACACGTGGCGAGGCCGGTTTCGCCACAGATACAAACCATCTTTTTTGTACCGTTAATTTCTATTCCAAATAGAGATACCATGAGAAACAAAGCCAAATCCTTGCTCCTGGCACCATTCACCAAGCCACATGTTAATGTCCCTAATAAACATTCGCCTGTCATTCTGAATGTTATGCATAGGCAGAACTTCAGAGAATGACAGTGTGGACACAACTGGCAATAACACAAAACTCTTGCTTTACCTCAGAAACCTCATTACAAACCAAATCATTTGTCACAAGATGGACAAGTACATCCAATTCTCTTTCCTGCTTTGCTTGCTTGACAATATTACAAATACATCTCCTGTTTCTGTGAGCATTAGCTCCAGGAAGACATCTCACAAAGCCACGATTGTCCAACTCCACACCTCTTAAGACAGAATCCCCCAACAATTGCTTTCTATCAGGCCTCACCTTGTCCATTTTGTCATTGGCTGCACTCACTCTCACCTTAGGCATAGAGGATGGTGGCTCCACAAACCCTGTGCCTGAGCCTGTCTCCGTAACACCACTACAATCTGAAAGTGCAGAAAATTAGTCATGTAAAGACACAGACTGTGCAGTATGTCTGTTGTCTACATCTCTAAGTCTACCAGATCCTACAGTAATCCATCTGCGATTCATCTAGGACATCTCTGAGGCAGTGGATTTGCAACAGTCCCAGTCTGAGTTTGTGTAGCGGACCCCGGGTAACCCAACCAGTTATCTCCGCTAATCCCTTCCTTCAGCCACTCTGCAACCCTTACAACAAGCAGGCATCACTTTCCCCCAGTAACTGGACAAGACACAGCTCTAGGAGTACAACACTGACAATGCTTTATTGGTACAGGCTTAATCTATACACGTGGCAGGTGGGCATACCCTCTCATGGCCATTGGAGGTAACTAAACGATTTGTTTAAAAATACATAGGGATGTGGAAAGAGCGCAGGTAACTTTTTTCATTGGTTTTTACTATATGTATTTTGGCTGATGTGTACTATGGTCATTGCTGCCGCCCAGGAGTAATGGGAGTTTGAGTGCAGGACTTGTTTCTTTGTATTAGAAAAATCTTAGACAGTTGAAGAATCAGTAAAACTCTCCAGTTTATCTCCAAACACACTTTGTAGCAGCACTTAGAAGCAGCTGCCAAGCTAATATCTACAACCCTTACATACACTCCTAAAGGCACCACCCCATAAGAATGTAACACCTGACAATAAATATATAAAGTATGACACATACACACTGGGATAGACTCAAGAGGGCTAGAGGATTATTCTGGTAGTATGTAGACTTTGTCTACTATATTCTTGAGGAGGTTGTAATTACCCACCCATTTGAAGAAGCAGATTTACCAAACATTTGGTAATATGCAGCCAGTGATTAAAGAAACATTTCAAGCAATATAACCACTACAGCCTGCTGTAGGTTTATGGTGCCAGGAAAACACCTACTCTCCAACAGATAAACACTTACACTGAGATACGTGCACTGACATACACACATAGTGTACTTGCATATACTCATACACATACACATTCTTACAAATGAATTTTATTTACAGTTTGTGGGGATATTCTTTTCCAGAAATATACAATGGTACAATATAATTTACAATTGGTATAAATAAGACCAAATATTTAAAAGGGAATGCTCACAATTCTAGAACCTTTTCAACATTGTGACTATGAACGTACCGGCTTTCTGTGTTTAAGGTAGCAACAGGAACCTTCTTGCTTGTACTCCTTTACAGACTCCAATAAGATATGTACATGACAGGAGACATAAAATGCAGAATAATAGTGCAGGGTGTTGTTAAAGGTTCACAACTGGTTATTCATAATATGTTGCTCACCTGGTTCTGGAGCCTATATAGTACTGGCTCAGAGTTTATGCACCTGCTTGCCAAATATGGAGTGGCAAGGAACCCCTTTTAGTGTGGATGGAATGGATATTTATCCAAGAGGATTCAAATTGGTATTTAACCCCTTCAGGACAGAGTCAATAGTACACGTTCTGATCAAAACAAAATGTAAACAAAACCTGGAATTTGCGCTATATGTCTGTTCACCCGTAGTTCACCTCTTTCATATTAAGTGCACCCACACTTATTAAATATCATTTTGTTCAGGAGAAACAGGGTTTTAACGTCTCATGAACTATTCATTTATGAAACATAACTTATTATGAATAAAATAAAACAGTGAGAAGTTAAGATAAAAAATACAATTGTAGTTCTGCCTGACATTTTAGCTGTAAATGTCATGATACTGTTTGCTTTTCCCCTCAATAAAATGCACATATTTGTATTCAGCAATGTCTCACAAGTAAAACAGTACCCATTAACAGATTTTACAGTGTTTTGGAAAGTTACAGGGTCAAATATAGCACATTCCATTTTTTATTTTTTTCACATTAAAATTAGCCAGATTAGTAATGTTATTTTTGAGACAGTGTGGTAGCCCATGAATGAGAATTACCCCCATGATGGCTACAAAAAATGACTGGACATAACTCATTTGCAATACCTTAAGTTTTCTACTTTTGCAAATGGTATGCAATCATGGGGGTAATTCTCTTTCCTGGGCTACCATACGGTCTCAAAGGCAACATTACCAAACAGGGAACTTTTTAATGTGAAAAAAATGAAATGCAAATCTTATATTTGACTCTCTAACTTTCCAAAACACCAAAAAAACCTGTACATAGCGGGTACTGTTACACTTGGGAGACTTCACTGAACACAAACATAAGTGTTTCAAAACATTAAAACATATTACAATTAAATTATCTCGTCAGTAAAAATGCTGTTTGTGTATGAAAAATACAAAAACTGATTCTTCCCTCCAAATTGTTGGAGCTATAGTATTATTTTCCAATCTTAATCCCAATCATGATAATTTATCTTTGAAAGGGGCCTCTGTAGCATATTTTACTTTGAAAGATTCCCAAAAGGTGAAATTCCCACTCAATGTACAGCACCCAGGGCAGACCCTAAAGAAGGCTGAAGCTTTCTCGTGCAAGCACTGACATGTTACTTAAGTGGACTTACTTCCGCTCCTGGGGATTTATCTGCTAGTTCATCATTGTTGTAAAAAAAAAAAAAAAGAGGTCTTTTGAACATGAGATTATTGCCTCTAGTGATGGCTGCTGGGAAATTAAAAAAGTTGATTGTGGAAGCTGTGCTATTTGTCAACTTTTATCAACTTTGACAATGCCCACAGGACAATGTAGTCTCTATATCATTTTGTGATATCTTATATGACCACTGATATAGCGGCATTGAAAGTTTAATTAATTGGAAGATCAGAAATGGCTGACCAGTTGCTAGTTTTTAGTTAAATTGAGCAGCCACTGGCTGGCACATAAGAATTGTGATTCTGCTTGGAACTATTATTGGTATTTATAGAGTATCAACTAATTCTGCAGTGCTTTACTGTGAAAGGGGGGTAAATTACAATAATTACATTTTGTAATAATTACAAAATGACGCAAGAACAATAGGTACAATAGGTAGATAAGGGCCATGCTCAAATGAGCTTACGGTGTTGAGGAGGTGGGGCACAAAAACACAACAGGGCAGCAAGGGTGACAGCCACCAAAAGGTGGAAAAGTAGCAGAGCTGGAGGTGAGAGTGGAGTATGATAAGTTTACTCTGGGAGTCCATAAGCATTTCTGAACAGATGTGTTTTGAGGGACTTCTTAAATAATTGAAGACTGGGGGAGAGAGTGATGGCAGTAGGCAGGCTGTTCCAAAGGAAAGGGAGCTGTCCCCAAAAAGTCCTGCAAGCGCAAGTTACCAGTAAGGGACAGGAAAAGGTCACCAGCAAAGCGGGTATACTGGGAAGGGCAGATCTGCGAATCAGTGAAGAAGTGTAACAGGGGCTAGAGTTGTTTAAAGCTTTATAGGTAAGCGTTAGTATTTTGAATTGATACCTACAGGATACAGGAAGTCAGCGTAAGGATCAACAGAGGGGCAAGGTATGGGAGGAACGACAGATGAGAAAGATCAGCCTGGTGGCACCATTCATTACAGATTTTAGCGGGGCTGTTTGGCTACTAGGGAGCTCCCTGTAACACCGGCTGGGTACCTCCGCCAAGGACCGCTTCCTTGCTGGAACAGGGGACAAACACCAGCACTTCTGCCCACAGTCGCCGTGGCTTGACTGGGGCCCTGGAACCGCTCCTTTCTGGAGCCGAGTGGGGAATTAACTCTAATCCTTACAAGGACTTTCCCCATTGAATTCCCTGCAAGCTGGAACAGCAGACACAGGAGTAAATCTTCTTTCCCTCCAATAACAGGATAACACAGTTTTGGAGTGTAGGTTGGAATAGAATTTTAATGGAGGCACACTGGCCTTTTAAGCAGGTTTCCCAACAAGGGTGACCGCCACGTGGACTTTGTTGGGCACAGGGACACAAAGTGAATAAACCAATAAAAACAGAGACTTACAGTGAGACACGCCCATACACAAACAATAGAATCCCTCCTCTGTGCTTGGGAGATAATTGAATCAGGAACTGAACTAATCTAACCCAATTATCTCCAAGCACAGAAAAACATAATTTTATGAAACCTCAAAAAAGTACCTTAAAAAACACATAAAACCCCATGAATCTGGGTGACCAACATATCCAAAAATCACTCAGATCAGTTCATGGGTTTAGAAATTCCATGGAAGTCATTTATTTGACCGACCGCAAGCATGGCCCCATGCCCAAAACAGTTCCAGAGAATCAGGGCTTGCAGTTGGTCTAGTTTGGTAGTTTGAAAACGAACAAACTAACGAACAGAGGCAATAGTCTTACCCTGGAGCTTGTTCTCTTCTTCCAGACAAATGATTCCACTGAACAGTGCTCTTCTAACTTGTATAAAACCGAACACAGGCGAGAATGGAAGTCCAGCGGTGTTCGGGAGTTTCCGTAGCCGATTTTAGTTCCAGGAAATTCATGCCCAAACACCACTGCCTGCGTTCATGCGAACAAGATGGCCGTCACCTCGTGGTTGCTTATAGGAAGTGCGGTCACCCAAATGAACAATTAGAACACTACAGTGAGAAACATTCCAAGTTGTTAATAGGTGTTAACAAACTCCAGGGTGGTCTCTGTTCCCTATAATCCCAATTGCACGAACAGAGACTTTTACATTATTTTCTACAGGGTCCATAGTACAAAAGGGGAGTTTGCCACCAACTATGAGAGAACTACAGTAATGCAAGAGATTACCAGAGCATGAACAAGCTCCTGGCAGCATCTTGCGTAAGAAAGGGGTGGATGCAGGCAATGTTTTTAAGGTAGAATTGACACCTTAAAAAATACTGGATAAGAGGTGCAAAGGTGAGGCCAGGATCAAAGATATCACCAAGGCAACGAGCTTACAAGGACGGACTGATGTAAGTACCATCAACTTGCAGGGAAAGTGAACGAGGAGGAAAAATAAGAAGCTCAGTTTTAGAGAGATTTTTTTTTTTTTAAGAATATTTGAGGAAAAAGGAATCAGTGATATGGGCCGACAGTTGGAATGGGAAGATGGGTCTAGGGATGGATTTTTTAAAATGGCTACCCGAGTTGCATGCTTAAGGGGAGCAAGAACAACACCAGATAAAAGAGAGCAATTGAGGATGTGTGTTAAGGATGGTACAAGACAAGGGGAGAGAGATCTGATGAGGTAGGAAGGTACGTGATCTAGCAGGCAGGTGGTGGGACGAGAGGGGAGGAGAAGCGCAGCAACCTTCTGTTCTGTAGCTGGGGAGGCCTGAAGGGTAGGGGAGGTAGGGTCTAGGTGTGGTTGTGAGAAAGAAGAGCAAAAGGATAGAGAATTCTTTCCTTAGCTGTTCAATCTTGTCAGTAAAGTAGCATGCAAGGCTATCAGCTGAAAGGTTTGTTTGTGGAGTGGCTTGAGGTGGGCGAAGAAGATATTTGAAGGTATTAAAGAGATGCCTGGGATTGCGTGAGTATGAACTAGCGAGAGAGAAAAAGTAGGATTGTTTAGCAAGGGTAAGGGCTGTGTTGTATGAACGAACACATATGAATATATAATGGAGGAAGTCTGACAATGTGCAGGACTTCCTTCAGCATCATTCAGTTGAATAAGAGCATCTCTGCAGGTAGCGAGTCGACTTACTGTGCCATGATTTGAGGTGAGTCTTCCTTGAGGTGCATGTTTGGAGCGCGGCTGCAGATTTCAGGGCAGTGGTGAGGGTAGCATTATATGAAGAGATAGCCAGAGAGGGACATGAGATGGTAGGGATGGATGAGAGTTTGTAATGGACATTGGCTGAGAGTTGCTGGAAGTCAATAGAATTCAGGTTCCTTCTGAGTTGAGGGGGGTTAGGCTGCGGATGTTGGGGGAGGGGGCTCTCAAGAACAAATAAGAGGTGGTGATCTGAGAGAGGAAATGGAGTGTTGTGAAACTTAGAGATAGTGCATGCATTAGAAAAAATAAGATTGAGGGTATTGCCAGCTACATGTGTGGGAATCATTAGCCCACTGTAATAGGCCAAGAGAGGAGGTAATAGAAAGGAGTTTGGAAGCTGAGGTCAAGGGTGGGTTAATGGGAATGTTGAAATACCTGAGAATTAGGGAAGGGATATTACTTGAAAGGAAGTAGGGAAGCTAAGCAGAGAAATGATCAAGGAACAGACGAAGGGAACCAGGGGGCCGATAGGTAACACATGTTAGCAGAGATGGATTTGAACAGACAAATTCATCAATTTTCACCAGATTTTGTCCATCCTATACAATTGTTTTATAATAAACCCTGTTAATCTTTGTTGAAGAATAAAATATATAAGTCACTGGACATCAGTCCAGGCCATAGTAAATGCTGCCTACAGACATTCTGTAGTATTTCTGGTCATTCTTATGACCATAACTATTACGAAAAGTGTGGAACATAGAATTACGATCCCCCTGCAATACTAAAGTTAAAAGAAGCACATCAGTGTAATTGTTATCCAATTTAATTACTCCAACATTCTTTTAAAGTATTTTTAAAGTTACATTTCTAATTTTATGGTTCGTAATTTTTTATGTATATAAAAAGTGCTCATCTGAACAAATTGTGTGGCACATCATAGATGCTGAGGAGGATGACTTTCTGTGGCATAACAGAAATTCACAATATCTTGTTTCAAATGATTTCTCCAATTTCACAGAAGTAATTTTTTCCCAGAGGATTTATTTTTGTTAAAAAGCAGTTTTGGTACAGGAGATACAATGCGCATGAACAGAATGCAAAGTAGCGCAGTTTATTCTTCATATCAGATGTCATTATTGCATTAATCTTAATTGCGTCTCAATGTATGTTAATTCTGTGTCATTCTTATAGCAATCATCAAAAAAAGATTTTTTTGTTACATTTTTTTACTCTTACAATTTTCTGTAAATTGTAATGCTGCTTGTAAAAGTCAGACACCGGATGTTTCATGCTTGTTGAACTAAATCAGACAATTCTGTTTATTTTGCAGCCTATTTTGCACTTATAGAGGTGATGTTCAAAACAGAAAGGAACAATTGCAGGGTTTTTTCAGAGCTGAAGCAAACTAGAATATTTTAACCATTCCATTCAAACACAGCAAATGTATGTTAACTCATTCTATGCCAACTCACTCTACATCATTTTCCAGGAATAACATTATCTTCAAAGCAGAGCACTGCATTAAATGCAGCCATTGCATGCCACAATGTTGTTATTATTATTATTATTATTATTATTATCTTATTATTTATATAGCGCCAGCAAATTCTGTAGCTATTTATATACACACACAAGTTATATATATTCACAGAGATAATCTGTAATTTTTATCCAAATTATAAATGGTGTAGCATAACCAATGAGATTCAAATATTTGATACGATTTATACAAAATAAATAATAATAATAATAATTTATTAGGAACTGCACTAACAATTCTGAACAAACATTTTCAAATAGTTACAATCTTTTTTTTAACGTTACAAATACATTGTTACTTTAAGAATATATGTATTCATACTCTGACAGTGTTTTACAAAGTCATAACAAAAAGTTACATTGGAATATTGAGTGTAAACAGCTTTAGAATTTTACATATATTGCAAATTTACTATTTAAGGCACTAACTATGTACTCATAGTACTGGGCTGTTTGTGCAGATATATATATATAAGCAGACATAGCATAAATGTTGTTTTTCCATGAACCATTGTCATCACTTTTTTTAATCTGCAAAACTGTAATCATCTGCAATGATCCATTTCACCTAATAATGTATAACAAGTTAAAGGGACATGCATCTTAAACCTTGTGCAATTTTAAACATGTGTTTGCATATACGATTTTGGACAAATATACCGGTTAGCCATGCACACCCTACTTACTATTAGCAGGTGACTTTATATGTACGATAACATTATTAATAGTATTTATTCATATTATACCAAAATGATCTAGCAGTAAAAATGAAATAATTAAATGACAAAGTGAGATACAGTAAATGAAAAGGACATCTAAAAAAAAAAAAATACAATTCTAAATAGCCAGTAGGGGGAGTCTATGCTGAATATTTTTTTAATTTTTTTTTTTTTAATAAACAGAAAAGCAGGAAATAAATATTTCTGAACTTCCAAATAACTGTAAAGTAATTACTCCACTTTATAACGAGGCTCATGTTGTGCAGTTTGTGCTCAGCGCTCACCTAGTAGCACAGAAAGGGAATGTGCTAAATTAGCATAATATCCAAGTACTTACCGTAGCCAAGAAGAATGGGGCAAGGCTCATCCCTCATGTGGAATCATTTAGCACAGATGACTGATGTGAATTGGAATGTTTGTTTATGTTAGTTTTAGAATGATTTGCATCTCATTTTTAAAGGGATCAGCAAAGCAGGTAGACATTTGGGGGTAACTTCAGCTCTCTATTTGAGAATTTCTCTCCAGGTACCATGTATGTCCTCTGTACACGAGATATTCTAAAGCTAAACAAACCCAATTCTCCTTTAGCTGCGAGCAAATATCTACTGGTAGAGGTGGGGAAGTACAGGATGAGATATGGGGTCTGGAATCAATCGATGTAAAAATCCTCCCCTCTTCCTCCTGCTGCAAGAGCAGCATTTGTAGTAAGCTGTGGCAAGTACTGAAAATGAGTCTGTTTTCTATGATGCAGGTTTCATCTCTTGAGCGTCAGCACAGGCAATCAGCATTCACCAGGGGGAGAGACACACATAACGGGGCGTGCAAGTAAAATGCAAGGAAGAGGAGACGGGGAGAGGACTACAGAGTGCAGCACAGGGTGAATGCTTGCAACATGATGGGAATGGGGGTGGAGCAGAGTATACAGACAGCTCACTTACAGCCTGACTTCCCCAGGATCCTAGTGCTGTTTTTGGAACTGTAAAAGCCAAGTCAGCCCAGATATATTATGGTTCAAATTAATTCTTTTCATAAGCTAAACACAAAATATTTTGTTGTGTGATAAACAGCTGTGCTTTGGTGTATGACACACTGTTCTGCTGTTGTTGGGTTTTTTTGTTGTTTTTTCGTTTGCTCAGATAATATTGGGAGTTTTATTTTTATAGTATTCATGTTAATCAGTAACTGTTTATATAGAGCTTTGTGTGAGCATGTAGATTTGCCTTTGGGTGGTTACAGATACAAAGTTGTGTGATAATCTGGAATTAAAAACATAAATAAGCAATTTGTTTAGATACCGCAAGATGTTATAATAATGTTTGTGACATTGCGTTTTCACAGCATTGTTTATTAGGTTGTGCACCTGGGGCTTTTTTTAGTTGCAGCACAGCTATCAATTACTACCTTGAAAATTTACCCCACCCAGTGGCGTACATACTGGGGTCGCGGCTGCGACCGGGACCTGCCCACCAGGGGGCCCATCCGCCCTGCGACCCGCTATGTACCCAGTGTGGCCAGCCTCTTCTCCTGGGGGGCCCAGGAGCCGGCCACCTCAGTGACCCCCGAGCCTAGCCCTGGTGTCACCCGACAGATGGGCTGGCGGGCGCGCAAGGCAGCACTCTCGCCTGAGCGCTCTTTGGCCAGCTCCCTCGCGCGGCGCGTACTGATGCCAGAGCCGGAAGATGACGTCATATTTCGGCTCCGGCATCAGTACGCGGCGCACGAGGGAACTGAACAGGAAGCACTCAAGGGAGAGTGCTCCCTCGCGCGCCTGCCCAATAACCATCCGCCCAGCAACACCACTGGACCCCAGGGAATCCCCTCAGCACTCCCAAAGGTAGGGAGGCTGGGGAATTAGATTTTTAAAAAACCGTGTGTGTGTTAGAGTGTGTGTGTGTGTGTGTTTCAGCCTTCCTCACATTTGTTTTTTGCTGTTGATCAAAAAGAAGGCAAAAAAACCCAGTTTGAAGCACAATTTTGCAACAAGCTAGGAAAAAAATTCGTTCTTGACCCCAGAATGGCAGTCAGATTTATCCTTGGATCAAGCAGTTAATACCCCACATTGAAAGATTATATCCTTGAATATTCTGTTTTTGCAAGTATGCATCTAGTAGCTGTTTGAACATCTGTATGGACTCTGATAAAACCACATCTTCAGGCAGAGAATTCCACATCCTGATTGTTCTTACAATAAAAAAAAAACTTTCCTTTGCCTTAGACAAAATCTTCTTTCTTCCAGTCTAAACTCATGGCCTCGTGTCCTACGTAAAGTCCGGTTTGTGAATAGATTTCCACACAATGGTTTGTATTGGCCCCAAATATATTTGTATAATGTTATCATATCCCCTCTCAGACAACATTTTTCTAAACTAAATAGGTTTAAATTTGTTAACCTTTCTTCATAGCTGATATGTTCCATACCTTTTATTAATTTTGTATCCTTCTTTAGAACAGGTGCCCAAAATTGCACAGCATATTCAATATGTGGTTTTACCAGTGATTTATAAAGAGGCAAAATTATATTCTCGTCCTGAGAATGAATGCCCTTTTTCATGCATGACAATACCTTACTGGCCTTGGCCACTGCTGATTGACATTGCACATTGTTGCATGTATTAGAGTGTGTGAGTGTGTGTGTGTTATAGTGTGTGTGTGAGAGTGTGTTAGTGTTAGTTTTTGTGTCAGTGTGTGTGTTTGTGTCAGTGAGTGTGTTAGTTTGTGTGTGTCTGTGTTTTGTGAGTGTGTATGTGTCTGTCAGTGAGTGTGTGTCTGTTAGTTAGTGTGTATGCATCTGTTCCTGAGAGTGTGTGTGTGTGTGTGTGTGTGTCTTCAGCACTTACCTTTCTCCAGCGCCGGACTCCCTTGGCGCTGGGGATCCCTCTGCCCCGATCCGCCTCTCAGTTCTGAATGCGCATGCGTGGCAAGAGCAGCACGCGCATTCAAACCGCCCAAAGGAAAACAATACTCAATGCTTTCCTATGGACATTCAGAGTCTTCTCACTCTGATTTTCACAGTGAGAATCACAGAAGCTCCTCTAGCGTCAATGAGACAGCCACTAGAGGCTGGATTAACCATCAGTGAAACAAACCAGTTTCTCTGAAACTGCTATGTTTTCAGCTACAGGGTTAAAACTAGAGGGATCTGGCACCCAGACCACTTCATTGAGCTGATGTGATCTGGGTGTCTGTAGTGGTCCTTTAAGTGTATGTGTATCTGCATGCACTGGCGTACATACCATGGTCGCAGGGGTCGCAGCCCTGTGACCCCTGCAATCAGGTTCCCGCCTCCATGTGTTGCGGCCCTGGCCCGCGCAGAGTAAGCGCGGGGGGGGGGCCACGGATCAGTTTTTGCACCGGGGCCCCATGGGTTGTGTGTACGCCACTGACCCCAAAGCACCTACCACTACGTCCAACCCACATAATTAATCTCCGCCTACTCATAGTGCAGATTTCAGGGTCTACGCAATAAAGAGAGAATTACAGAGAATTGAGATGGTAATTTTAACCCCTTAAGGACACATGACATGTGTGACAAGTCATGATTCCCTTTTATTCCAGAAGTTTGGTCCTTAAGGGGTTAAACTGAAGGCCAAAGTAGCAGAGTTGGAAAAATTCTCCCATTCAGCTGCACTATTTCGACCTAAAAGTTTGAAATTCCCTGCAATTCTCTCCTTATTGAGTAGACCTTTATAACACCAAGTTCCCACCAACAGTACCATGCATATGTGATGTGCGATAGATAAATTCGCAGCACACCATTTATATCAGGCAGTTACATGTTATCACTTTTAGGTGAGTTGAGTATCAGTGGTGACACTGTAAATACCATTTTAACAGCATTATGGGCCCCCGAGCAAAGCAGTGCACTAGGGCCCTTCCTACACAACAACTCACAGGATAAAATAAATTAAATTATTAATAAAATTAAGCTTATATTTATTGATACCTCCAACAAATGCAATAAATACATACAATACACGCACACACTGACTGCTGAATACACACACACACTACACTGAATGCACACACCCAAACACATGCACAGAGACTGCTGAATACACACATAGACTGCTGAATACACACACACACACACACACTGCTGAACACACACACACAGAGACTGCTGAATACACAAACACACACACAGACTGCTGAATACACACCCGCACTGCTGAATACACACACAGAGACTGCTGAATATACACACACAGTGCAGTGAGGGGTGCAGTGTATGTATTTGTGTGTAGGGGTGGTGTGTGTGTGAAGGGTGCACTGTGTGAGGGGTGCTGAGTGGGTGAGAGACGTGCTGTGTGTGTGTGTGAGAGGTGTTGTGTGTGTGAGAGAGGTGCTGTGTGTATGTGTGAGAGAGTTGCTGTGTGTGTGTGTGGGGGGGTGCTAAGTGTGTGAGGTGCTGTGTATGTGTGTCAGAGTTGCTCTGTGTGTGAGGGGTGCTCTGTGTGTGTATGAGGGGTGTTTTGTGTCAGGGCCCAGGGTGCTGTGTGTGTGTGTGTGTAAGGGGTGCTGTGCCCTGGTGATCCAGTGGTGGTGGTGTGTTGTCTATAGCCTGCAGCTTTTCTGGCTGCAGGCTGTCTTCACTCCTCTCACGAGCAGAATGTTGTGTAGGAGCATTGCCCTTCCTATCACTAACAAAGGTCCTTTGGGCAGGTGAGGGATCATAATAAAAGCACATGGCTCTGCTTTTAATTTCCCGGGAAAAGTGTCCTAAATGTAATTGCTATTTAACAAACAATTTTAAATTTAGCCATGGTATTTTAAATAAGCAAAATAAACACCTATATTAAAAAAAAAAAAGTATAATCTTGTAATGAATGTAATCTATAAAGAAATGTAATAATGTATATCTTTAACCAGATTGGCAGTGTAGGGTTTGAAGCGGGAATTTTGTGAAATGTTGAGTCCTGCATTATGGTGTAAAGCAAGGGTCCCCAAAAGGTAGATTCCCCAGATGTTTTAAAACGAAAGGCATGCAAAGCATCATGGGAGTTGTAGTTTTACAACATCTGGGGAATCTACTTTTTGGGCGCCACTGGTGTACAGTGCTGTATCTAGGGCAAGGCTCACCATTTGCCTTGGGCGGCACTTTCAGGGACCCCCCTGAGGCTGGTATCTGTCCTGTTTGCACGTGGGTGGCGAGGAAGCACGCTCTTCTGAGCTCTTCCTGCTCAGCTTCTTCATGTGCACCGCAGTGATGCTGGAATAGAAGGAGGGGGGTGCCCGAGTTTTGTCATGCCAAGGGCAACACAAAACCAGAATACACCATTTGGTGTAGAGACACATATGGAATTACCCAGGCACACATCTTGCCTGTGAAGTCATCTCATGTATATATTATTATTATTATTATTATTATTGCCATTTATATAGTACCAACAGATTCCGTAGCATAACATATATATCAGTTCTCAACTTTAAAGGGTCACCCTAATTAATTTATTCTACTATCTAACATCTTTCCTCTCTCGCACGACTGTGGAAATGTAGAAATGCCATTTTATGACGGCAATAACAGGTCGAAAGCATTGGGACTAGGATTAGGAGATCCCCAACATTGCCAAAATTTGTGAAGACTCCCTTCACCATTAACACTACGATGAGTAGTACTTGTCATGGTGATTAAAGTACCTCTTTATTATAGTAGCAAGAAAATGCAAATAAAATGAAAGTGCTCTTTGGGATCTGTGACTATGGAAATTCAAAAATTAATTTCTGTATTAGACCTCTAATTAAAGGAGGTCACATAGAAGATAATTTTGCATTGGTGTCTGTGGATCCATATTTCACTTAAAGCGGCACTGTTATGCCAAACTTACCTTTCCCTAATCGCTTCCTCTTCTCTTCCTCTCTCAGGATCTGTTATTCATTTCTTCCTGTCTGCTCTACCTTTTTTTAAAACATAAGTAGTGACTACTTGTCTTATGGAGGTTTCCT